CTGGTTTGACTTCTGTGGAGTAGTGACACATTCTAATTATCACAAATTTTTGAAGCCTTGAAGAAAAGCTTATTTTACATTCTCGGCAATCTTTGGCATGAGAAGATAATTCTACCCAGGCTGGACAAACAAAGAACAGAGTAAAGGTAAAGAGTATTCAAAACTTACTTTTGGTCCCTTACATCTGGTACCTCTCTGTCCATTGGTAATATGTCACTCTCTTTCTGATTATACGCATTTCTTCCATATGGATCCTCGCCTGGCTTTAATTTATCCGCATCTACGTAAGCTGCTGAATTCAAATCTGATATTTTCCTTTTATCTATGTCTTGTACACCCAGTTCAGACCTACTGTCACTTACAACTCCTTGCTTCTCTTTCAGTCTCACCTTCCTTCCTCTAAGTATATACTCTTCTCTCGACTTTGAGGAGTCAAAAGTAGTGTGGTGTTGTCCGACAAGAAAAAAGTACATACCTCCTATCCAAATAAAAAATAATCCTGCTACAATTATCCTGTTCCTTCTAAACTTCATGTTTGTGGCATGCATTAATTTTCCGCTAATATGAAACAATTATATTTTAATATAGAAGTGTTTATTTCTAATAAGTTGGTGAAGAATAGTCAAATTCTGACAGCTCAATCAATCGTATGCAGCTTACTCAAAATTGATAAAACTCGGCAACGAGAAGTAATTGCAAAGGACCAGCGGACTGTCCTTCTCTCGATATCTGACTGAACTCTAGAGAATTCCATTAAATGCCATAATGTGACGTTTTCTTGACTATGTCTAGATGTTTTAGCTGAGAATTTCGGATACCCAGCAACGGGCCTACTGTTCGTTTACTCCAGCCTAGTCTTTCTACGTTTTCTGCATGTAAAACAACCTCCAAAGATGCAAAGTGCTTTAACATATACAATACCGGCTGTGTGCAAATCACCGACAGTTTGAATAATGGCAAGAAACGCACAAATTGTTTACTAATTGCATTTGTTGTGCAGATACACATTACCCGCTGTCTGTGGCAGCCATTTTATAGTTCCACGTAGGTGTTTGTCTACAACGCGGGCCGGAATGGTGGAATTTTCCTGAAGTCAATAATATAAACTATGGAACCAACAAATAGTTGTCGGTAACGTTCGTTTTTGCGTGACTAAAAATCTTTATTTCTACACACACAGTGCCATCTTGAATTATTCAACTGATTATGACTTCATTTAGCTTTTCAAAATAGCTTATCGGTATCTAAAAGGTGATGCTTATCGATTAAAAAATACCACCTGTCTTAGTTATAACAAACATTTTCAAGTGACACACGTTATATTTGCTAAAACAGCTGCTTCATATTCTGAGAGTCAAATGTATTCTTTCTCGAGGCAATAGATTGTAAAATTCACATAAGTAATATACACCATGTACCAACAATTTCGGTGGGAATGGAAGCGAAAATTAATCCCACCGAATATTTTTGAAACCGATATTTTTCTTACCGAAATTTGCAGAAGATAGAAAAATCCTTGGAAATCTAGAAAAATTTTACACCGATGGACTTTTAAAATGAAAATAAATTTCCTTGATATTATTGGAGTATTATTTGAGTATCCATTACATATCAATCTTCATGTTCTGATTCTCTTTCATCATCAACAGGCATCTAGCTCATCTTTACTATCTTCTCTTTCGCCATCTCCATGGGCTGAACTGATGGCTCTCCATAATTTCTCTTAATTTTTTCTAACATTCTACTAGCTTCAACTTGGACGCCCTAATTTCTAACTCACAATCGATCAGAATTTCTAATCCCGTAATTGCGGCGATCAAAAATATTGCGAATTGTAAACGCTTCCAATTAATTTTCCTCCATTATCACCCCCAATTTTTCTGCAAAAATGTTTTTTTAAATAACAGAAAAGAATAAAGGAAAATATATAGATGAAAAGAGTAGTGGATAATTCCTTGTATTACTTAATTTCAAAGGAATAAGCAAAGGTCTCTTGGGCCACCTAAAGTACGTAATAAAAGTTATCAAGTTAACGGGTTTTGCTCGAAACGTCGTTATTTATTTTAAAAAATTTTTCCTGGTACAATTTACTTACATTGATTGTTATATAGCATCATATTGTACCGCACGCAATCTAGTATATTTATGTAATAAAAGCATGCCTTAAAAATAGTGAAATGTTTTAAAAGATTGTGAGAAAGAAATATTCTGTAACGTACCCTAAGATCATCTAAAAGGCGTGATCGCAAAAATTTCGCTTCTTTCAAATAAACCTGGGGCCCCAGACAACTAGCCTGCGCGCAGACGTATTTTTCTCACATTATCTCCCCTTTTCAATTTATTGCTAGCATAAGGAGGGCCCTATAAGATCATGTGCATAAAATATCTTGAATCATTTTACTGAATTTTTCAAAGATGGTTTGTTATTCAAATAATGCTATCAACTCGACCCCCTCCTCCCCCACTTTGAATTTCTTGGCGCCGCCCCTGGAAATAGAAATCACTTACAAGTGTTTTTATCTTTACTCACCGAAATGTTTTTCTTCCACTGAAACTTCAATAATATGTACGAATTTTTTTCCATCAAAAATTGATCCACCAAAATTTTAGGCACCGGATTTTTTGGTATTTAATATGATTCAACTTATCCATGGGGAGCAATTAAAGAAAATTTCAAAGAATACTTTAAAGAATAAATAATCTTATAGCTTTATTCTTTTATTGTTTGAATATTTTTGTCAAGAAATAATTCATGGTTTGCCTTGAATTATTCTCTAGAACGAAGAAAAGGTAAATTGTTGAAGAATACAGAAAAAACCTGCAAAAAGGAAGCTCATTTTTTAGACCTGGCTGTACAGTTTCTTTCAAAAGGAATACATTTTGAAAAAATGCTGATAGGTTTCCTATAAAAAGGGTTTCTTTTAGAAAATAGCAGGAAAAGGCTAGCAAAAAATGACATCTGCATTATGACAGCAAAAAATGAGTTTTTTAAAAGCAGTTTTTTAACTCCAATAAGGTAAAATCTGTTTTGTTTTTGAAAAAACTGATTCTTACATCTACACGATTTCACAACCTTTCGTGCTAAACGAGCACTTGTAAGAAGCTGGAAAAAGTTCAGGCTCTTAATTTTCTATATAATTTAGTTTATTATATAAACCAACCTGCATTTTACTTAGGTGAGCTTCTTATTTGCCGGATTTTCAAAGTAAAAAACTGCCTAGCAAATAATTGAATCGGACAGGGAAACAGCATAATTTGCCATCCTTTTGATAACTTTTAAGCTCCTTTTTTCCTCATGTATTTTGTATCAAAAGTCAGCTAAAAGGTGACTGAGAAGTTTTGCAGGAAAAATGAGCCATACAAACAAGCGAAAATAGACAAAGAACCGCGTAGCATTTTACAGATTGAATGGGCTAAATTGAGGGGCTGAACATGCTAAAATCCAAGAGGTGGACGATTTTTTGCATGGTCTTATGTGCATTTTGGAAATTTTTGGGAGGCTAAAGTCCCTGTAGTCTCCGGCTTCCGCTGTCCCGGACAACACGCATTTGAATTTGGAAAACTTTCAAATGTAAGAAGTTCGTCGTATCACAGGTTTTCAAAAGTGATATCAAATATTCAGATTTACTGCTGAATTTCAATTCAGAATCGATATCTTTTAGTCGTTTTTTAACCATCGGTAAAATTAATTGCATTATTTTGTGAACATTTGCGATCATTGAAAACGAGGTTTGGAGCCGACATCCATGCTGGATTATGCAAGAGTATGGCGATTGGGTTGCATCAGTGATCAGTTGTTTGCATCGATAGTACTGTGAATCTCGCTCCATTTACTATTGTGAAAGTTAATTTTTGCTTGATTTTCTTTTTAATTTTGACTACAATTATCATTTTGTGACGAGGAGAATACAAGTTGCTGGGATCCAAGTCTGGAAACGGAATGGAAAAGTAGGCCAAATTGTTACCAAAATCTGGTCCTAAATTTTTTCTCGTTTTCCCATTTTGGAAAGAGAAAGCCTTGGAAAAATGGCGAAATTTATTGCACAGATAATTGTTCTTGGTGGTCAAATAGTTGCAAAGGCTTTTACGCAAGCTTTGCGGCAAGAATTCCAGGCAGGAAATGCAGCGAGACGGGCAGCCGGTAGTGCCCAAGAAGGGACTCGTCAAGCAGCGAAAAATAGTTTGATGGGTATGACTTTAGAAGAAGCACAGCAAATCTTGAACGTAAAAGAGTTGAACCCTGAGTCAGTGGAGAAAAGTTTTAAATATTTGTTTGAAATAAACGATAAAAAGAAAGGAGGGTCATTCTACTTACAATCAAAGGTGTTTCGTGCAAAAGAGAGACTTGATGAAGAATTTGCCGAAGTAAAAAAGGAAGAGAGCAAAAAAGCCAACTCTGATTCTAATTAAACGTTGTTGACACTTGCAACTATAATGTTCATACAGCTTAGAATTTGTGTAATGATGTTGTGCTAGGCAATGACTATGCTTTTATTTTTTATCCTCCATTGGATAAAAATACAATGTTTTATGTCAAGCCATGAAATTTAAGTCCAAGGAAGTAGTAAACTATATTTGAGATTAAAGTTTGTTGAATGTACTTTGGTGAAAAGGAAGTTACTGGTACATGCAATGCAAATACTGCATGATGTTTGAATATGGGTTTTTTTTGAATTTTTCAGTTTAGAGTTTCTCGAAGTATTTATTGTTTTGATTTTAAATACATGCTTGATTTCAAGGATCAATCAGAGTCTGTCCTCACAACAAAATTGTTTGCTAAGGCAACCTGATAGACTACGGCATGGCCTATTGAGATAAAACTTAAGTATTATGTAATTATTTTGATACTTAAATGGTAAGTTTGTGATGTTTCGAGTGCTCTTATCAGACAATAGCCAACTGTTTTGCAAGATAATTTTTAATTTTTTGTCCATGATGTAAAGCACTTTGCTAACACAGTAAAGCTGGAATAGATCTAAAAGTTTATAGTTTGAGGGTATTGTTTGTATTGTTATTCACACAGTGTTTGTTTGTGGAATGAATTGTGTTTTCAATGAAATAAAATTTTCAATTTAGTGCACAGGGAGTGAAACCTTTAGTAAATTGAAACACAGAACACAAAATGGTATGGTCCAGGTTCCTTTCAACAACAATGTAGCACCTGACACCTGGACCATACCATTTTCTAAACACAGACAGTCACCGACAATGTGTTCTGTTTAACACAGATAGTGTGCTGGGCATGATGTAATTTCATATCAACCAAAAAATATGTTTGCTTAGAAGAGAACAGATTAGAGAAGAAAAATACTACCCAAATCACAAAATTAGCAGAAAAATTGTTTTTTTATACTGTCAAATGTGTTGATCAATTTATTTATATGCTTCCGTGTAATCCATGTCCTTACAGCTGTCATTCCAAATGGGACAGCAGGGCAGGGGAGTGATGGCATTATTCTCTCCATTTGAACAGTAAAAGTATTTCATGAAAAAGTAAAAACAATGGTTACTAGCGTTCCCATTGTAAATTATGGTTAACCCAGAGAGAGGGTGTTGTTACACTTTCTCAGGCTTGTCTTTCAAGCAGTGCTTGGTAAGGTAAAATAAGAAGTGAAGGTAAGGTATAATAAATGAGAAAACCCAATGTTAGTTTTCAAAGCTTGTTGTACTTCAAAGTAGCCAAAATAAGCTCAGTAGTCCTGAAAGGTCCAAAAAACAAACTCCCTTCTTTATTCTATGCTGCATTGTAATCTTTATTCCAGGGGTGGTACCAGCCCCAAAATAGTGGGGTGGACAATGAAGGGGTGGAGCTGATAAAGGTCTGGGTGAGAAACTGGTGCAACACCATACAAGAAATCACACTCGTTATTGATAACCAAGTTTGACATATTTTGAAACCCTCAATAGAAGAGTTAAATTTCATAGGCAAATGTTTATACACATTAAAACTAATTCCCGAGTGGTATCTTAGCTAGCAATGGTTTTAAACTTATTAACAAGGATTCCTTTGCTATTTTATCTGCCATTTCTCGATCAATGCTAATTTGAACAAGGTTTGCCAGCCTTTCGTCTGACATTGAAGCTCAAAGGTGATGCAGCTGTAACAGGTGGGGCTGCAACACAACTGTTTAGCATGATAAAGCTGTGTTTTATAGTTCATCCTCATTTTAATTTCTCATTTTAGTTACAGAACTGATAATCCAACACACCATATGTACTCTATGTCAGCTAAGATCTAAAAAGAACCTTAGCTGACCATCAAAATGAAAAAAGATCTGATCTCAACCTGTGGCACCGCCTCTGCTATGTATATTTCTAGTACGCAGGGACGAAGGGGCTATAGCTCCCACATTTTTTATTGAAGTAAAGTATGGTATCGTGGTTATGGCATCAAATGTACCATAGAAGTTTGCCACTTCGCCTGGCGCCCCTCAACTCCAAAATCTGCTCCGGTGTCCCCGTATTTTGTCTGTGCATAGTCTCTAGAGGTAAGAGTAGGACTATTTGACCCAGGTCTGTGCCAGCCAGGAAAGCACAGGAACTTGGAAAGAACACTGAACTCTAAATAAAAGATCTATTATTTCTTTTATTTAGAGTTCAATGGGAAAAAGTGAATCTTGAAATCGAGGCCGTTGTTCAGAACAACATGGCCGACGGTCGCACACCGTCGAGTGATACAAAGGCAAAGAACGGGACTTCTCTATCAGCGAAAAAGAAAAAAAGTGCCTCAAAGGGCGAATTTGAGGATTCAAATCAATCTGCGAGCCCCATGCCGACCCAGGTACGAAAAATCATACATAGGCTGAAAAAATATATGGGGGTTCCGACGCAGATAAATTCGAAAAATAGGGGGCCAAGATCAAAGACGCATTGCAATTTGCAAAAATCTCTATTGCTGTGCAAAAAGGTGGGGTGTAAAATGCCCCCGCCGTCAAATGCCCTGATATAGACTGTATGATCTTTAACAACCCTTCTTATGGTATGGTAGGCCTAAATAAATATATAAACTTGGCATGAGGCTCCCCCAAGAAATTTGTCTAGTGCCATGCCTGGGTCTATCATCGCTTTGCCCCCACCAATTTTTCAAAGAAAAATGAAATGTAGGCTGAATGCTTATTGCATACCACTGAAAGGCCAGAAGTATATAGAAGTTATTCACATACATTCAAGCACTCCCCCAATAATTTGCAGAATTGGCAAATTGCCAAAATTGCTTTGCTCTTGGCTTTTTTGGAATGTTTAACCCCAAGATAATTTACCTCAACCTGTAATATACTCCTGGATCCTTGATAGAGGTTTTCTCAGATATCATCTGACCCCCAAGACCCCTGAAATTCATCCATTATACACAGAATTAAATCTGCATACTAGCTTGCCTTTCTATTTATATTTCAGGAATCAACAGATACACAGGAATGTGTCTTCAAAAATCCTAATTTTGAACACTCTGGAGCTAGAGGTGGAAGAAAAAGAACATGGAGGACTCTAAAGCAAGTTATATCTATGGAAAGATCAATGAATTGGCCAGAAAATAGTGTTACTTATGGAAGCATTGATGCACCTCTATCATTTAAACCAGGAAAGAAATACTCTGATATTTCTGGATTTCATGCAAAATATACTGATCCACAAACAAAGTTGAGGTACTCCTCATCAGATGAGTTTAGGATTGTGAGGCAATTGCCGTACGATAGAATGCAAGGTTATTTAGGACTGAGAAATGCCTCATATGTTCCATAAATGTAAATAAATAAATAAAAAGTAAAAAGGAACAGCAGGTCTTGCTTTTACACAAGTTTAAAGATGCACAGATGCTCTCTCGCTTTCTGCTATCTAGTGTTCTTTATTAAAATGAAGCCAACTGATTCATATTTTGCTCAGTCTAAAGATCTAGATTTGTTTGACGTTAGATGAATCTCAAATTGAACAATGTCATACAATATAAACAAAGCTTGAGAAGAATAAATGACACTTATAAAGCAGTTGTATTTATATAAATGGAATATTTACAAACATTGATGTTAAAACATTTTTCTTACATTTCCTTTTTTACTGAAAAATATCCTCAAGGTTTAGAGACAAAGCGCTGCCAACAAACTGGACGACACTGACAGGTCTTGACATCCATCCACTTAAGGTTTTTCTGAAATTTATAAATAAGGGAACCTTGATCAACTGAACCATTTGAAGGCAAAGTCTGTAGAACCACCAGGCCTTGCAAGGAGAGGCGCTTGAGCTCAATCAAGTGCCAACACATTTGCATTGAAAGTTCTAGGAGCTTGATTGATCAAGCACCTAGCATGTTTATGTTCTTAAAAAACTAAATGCGAAAAACCAAATTTTGTTATTGATTATATTTGATGATGTTCAATGGAGTGTCTAAAAAGTTGAAGGTGCTCGGTTTGTCAAGGGCCTGCTTTTTGCTTCTCACAAGGCCTGTAGAACCACATGATTTAGATTTGCAATTTCGTAACTTTGAACCAGTTCTTAATGACATGTAAAATACCGTTAAATTTTGAAAAAAGCCCAGGGATTATAACAGTTGAAAGGCTGTTTTCGGGGGCTAATATTTAAGGGGACTGTATTAGGGAGGATTATATTCAAAGGGGACAATAATCAGAATTATGTTTATATCAGAAGAAAGTGCAAATCAGTTTGTTTGGTCGTGTTTCTGAGACACTTACAATTAAGCTCCTTAACTATCATTGAAAGAAGATTTTATTAAAAAAACCATAGGAAAGATGAAGCTAAAAAGGAGCTAGAAGGCAAATGGACTCCAGGAGAAGGCATTGATATACCCTGTCTACATAAGATTTCAGGAAACATGTGTTACAAACTAAGTCTAAGAAATGCACTAAAGAAAACTGAAGAGCAGAATTTTTTGTTTTTGTATCAATAATGGCATGTAATAATGTTGAAATGAGAAAATTGTGTTTTCGTGTAACACTGAAAATATAAGCCCTGGGCTATTAATTGAAATGGGTTGTATTGGGAAGTGAGTTTATGTCTAAGGAATGGGGGCTTAAATTAAACTATTAACTAACATTAACTAACATTCAAGAAGGTTATTGATTCTTCTCTAAGTGATAAACAAGAGACAAAGCTTTGAAATAATGGGGGAAATTGTTAATTATCAAGTGCATTCAAGTACATAACGTCTTTTAAAATTCAAGAAAAACTTGGTTAAATTAACATAATACTCACTGTTTGCAAGGTGAAAGGAAAGGGCTTTTTGCAAGCGTAGTTGTGACTGTATCAAGTAGTTCTCATTAATTAGAGGCTAAAAGATTGAAAGTAATATCTACTAAATTATTAAAATAAAGAACTCACCAAAAATGTGATTTAACTTTTGAAAGTGTTCAATTTGAGAGAGAGGAAAAGATGATAAGAAATTTTAAATGCATTTTATATGAAATTTACTAACATACTTTTATTATAAATTATGCAAGTGTTGATGTTTAAAATATATAAGAAATGTAGAGAAAATTCAAGAGAATTATAGTGGCCTCATGTTTTACATCTTTCTAGAAATATAAGCAACTTTTTTTTCTTTGTTTTTCTTCTTGCTTTAAATTGATAGGCAAATAGATGTTGATGGCAAATGGCTACTTTTGCAAATGCAAGGCCACTTATAAAATTTCAGGGAAGTCAAAACTAAAGAAGCAATGGTGTTTTTATGTATAAGTTACTTCTTTTAGAAATAAATTTAATGTACTCAATTGAAAACATAAAAAAAAAATGAATGAAAATGTAGCTGTTGCTGGACTTTTGCTGAAATGTTATAAACATACCCACTTTTTTATCAAAGAACATAAAGAGAAAGAACATTGAGAGAGAGAAAGAACACAAAGAACATTAGGCAAAGGGTTGATACCGCATCCTAATAAACCTACCTTTCCTACAACGCCTATTTTTTGTAACTTAGGATGCAAAATACTGTAATACTGAAAAATGATTTCAAGCTGCTTCATATTTTCCGAACTGAAATGACCATCAGCAGCTTCTGCAAGCACCTTGTGAAACAATTGATTTATAGAATTAATTCAATAACAGGAGATGAGAGGAACATTCAATATGTAAACCATTGACTTTTTTATTCTGCAATTTTATGAAGTCCTGGTTTTAGGAGATAACGCATGCAGTAACAAGAATTCAACAAAGTTGGTGGAATGGAGACAATAAGGACAGTAACAGTGTCTTTCAACAGTAATATCACAGTGAGAAATTTTGAAACTGAGTGCTGTTTTTTAAAGTAAATGCCAAAGGAGAAACTTTTAAAATGGAAATATAAAGTCAAACATTCATAGAAAAAGTAAAAAAACTCAGTGCTGAAGTCAAATTCAGGCAGAAAAGCCTGTAAGTTTGTTATTAAACACTTGTATTCAATAATATTTGTTTTTCCAATCTAAACCTCTTGGAAACTAACCCCTTTAAAGGTATTCTTCAAAGGATTTGCAGCTTATAAAATATATTTATCTACAACTGATTTATTGTTTGAATATCTTACCCTTTCAATGCTCATATATGTTGGCAAAACATCAAGCTTCTCATTTGACACACATTCAAACAGAGTAGATGACAAAAATTCTGAATTGACCTGAATAACAAATAACAAAACCTCTTTAATTTCAAGTGGTCTCCTTGTTTCTGGGCATAACACAAAATTTCCAAACCGGCATGAACATTCAATACACTGAAAAATTTTGAGTATAATAATTTCATGTCATAGCTTAAACAAATGTAAGAAAATGAGCTTTTATCTAGAATAACATGAAATGGTAAAAATTCTTTGACTCAATCAAACGACTTAACCTTGATTACTTTGGTAGATTAGACAAATAAAATGTATTCTTTAACCTCATTGGTTTTAGCATCATCTGAACAGAACATTTCACCAAAGAGAACCGCATCTGCGTTGGAACTAAATGATGATATTGTTTCAAGCTGAAATATAAAGTACCTATGCAGTGACATGACATGAAAACCTCTTCTTCCTTAAAAAGTACTGTAAAATTAGCTTGCTTGCTAGAATTCAACTAGCTTTGAAAAAATAAATTTCCAAAGGTTCTTTACTGTAAAATCAGTTATTTTCTAATACATGTGCATGACAAATAGGCAAATAATCAATTAAACATCAAAAAAAGAAGTTGACACTGTTATAAAAAGTCGAAGACAGTAATATAACATTTTTAATAGATGACTTGTGAACTGTCTCTGATTTTAAAGACACTGGAAATTTAAGCTTTTGAAATAAACATCTTTAAACGCTTTCCTCGCATTTTTTATATTTTATAATAGAAAGAAACAATAAACTTCAAAGTGGCCCAAAGTCATGCCTTCATTACGTAATTGAAGTATTTTGTTTTTCATAAACGCTTCATATTTTGTGTAAATAATTTGTTTATTGTCTAATGGTTCAAAAGGAAGCTAATTTGGTACTGTTGACAGTGCAGCATAATGAGAGAAGCCTTTGGGCTATTGTGCTAAATCAATGCCATCAGTACGATATTTGCCAGCTACAATCACTGTCAGAAGTCTTCTACCCCCTCTCCCCCCCATAGGAACAATGTCGATTTACTACAAAAAAAGAGGTTATTGGCTACGCTTTTTCTTGTGGCTTGTATATTTTTCTAACCTATCTACATTGTTATTTGGGGAAAGGAAGCTGGAAGAAGTAGTTGTTGGGAAGACAAATAAAGAGCTCAACGCAAAGTTTAAGGTGTCCCAAGAAATTTTGGCAGTGATTGTACTTATACTTTTTATTGGAAGAAAATACTGAAATCTGAAAGTTGGTGAAAATACTTTGGGCTAGAATTGGGGAAGTATGCACTCAACCTACTCTCGATTCAAGGATCCTTAAGATTAATGATCAGTGGCTCTGTAGCACAATATTGTGGGAAACTGACATTTCAGCTTGGCTAACGATCTTTATGAAATTATCAGAGTTCCCTTTTAAACAAAACACAACCAACAACATATTGTGGCATTGAAATTGAAAAAAATAAATAAAATGCATACCTTTTCTGATTGATTTGTGAAAGTTCTCGCCATAAGGTTTCGATGACCCTGAAATTCAATATATTTTTAGAGACTGCTGTCATGTTAAAATAGCAGGGCTCGGCGGAGTTAACATTCTAGTACCATAGCATCAAACATATCTATATACAAGCTTATATCCAAAACAGAAAAATTCCCGATAACGCCAGGAACATAACAACTAAATATCATAACATCTATAGAGAGAGCAGTTTAAAAGTTGCCTGACGATCGCATTAAGCTTGAAACTCGGAGTAGCGGCTTACAACCGTCCTATTCCTTACAACAAAAAACGTGCACAGGTCGCCTATACGTCATCGAGAACATTAAGAGAGACAAGTAAACGGAAATTTCCAACACAGAAAATATATTGTCACTTTCATGTCGTAAAGAGATCAGTATATTATCATGACGATTCTGCTTTTCACAGAAACATGCTGGCAAAAACAAGGAAAACGTCTTGATTTTTAAGAATTTTAATTCAAGGTAAACAATCATCTCCAATTTTCCCCAGGATATACTTGTGAGATCCCTAACCCTCAAAAAGACACACTCCGAATTCTAAAAATTGGCCCTTGAGGAAACAAATATCAAAATTAACAAAACATAATAATAGAAACGTCATTTATTTCACCAAAAGAAATCTAGACAAAAAGTAAAACTTACTTTCGGATCATCTACATATGAGAGATAGCCAACTTTCTTTTTTACGTACAAACAGTTGATAATTCTTACGATTTCATCACTAGAAGAGATCAAATGAAAACTAGAGAGAAGTGCATGCAGCCTTTCTTAAATATAATTCTTAAGGCTTGGCTGAAACCATTATAACATTGATAAAACCTTCAACTTAAAGCTGACTTGCAGCAATGCTCTAGTATAAATGCTTTCGTCAATTGGTCTTTAATAAGAGAAACAGTCAGCCAATTATCTACAAAGCATGAAAGATAAAATGGAAGAAGGAACTGTGACAAGAACTGGAGTTTTACATTCATTTAGAAATGGGGTTTATGAGATATATGTTAGAAGAACTTGCATTCATTTGTACCCAAACGATTAAAGATAAAAAGTAAAGTTATCTTTAAAACTTACGGTGGCTTCTCAGAATCTGAAAATTTGATAGTTATAGGCCAGTACCTGGGCCCAACTACTTGTATCTGGAAAAAGGAAAGCAATAGATTAGAAAACGAAAAACTTGCAAGAGATGGAAGCAAACACAATTAAACCTGTTTATATTTCCTAATCTATAATAACAATAATTAATTATAACATTGCTAGTAATTGTTACCATCACTACAAAAGAAAACACGGGAAGGCCAACACTTCTATGTAGCTTTTGCAGAACTTTATTCATTGGCAACATCAGGCTATACGTTAGTGTTGCCATCCCTTGCTGAAGGGAAAAATCATTAAAAACGTCTTTTCAGTAGGCCAAAATGCTAAAATGCTCAATTTTTATACCAACCAAATCAATTTTTACCAATAATTTTGCAGTGTTTACACACAATTGAAAATTTGTCACATTTCTTGTAGTTTACTTGCACATGGTATAATCAAGTTGTCACCTGTATCATTCTACCGTCAACAGGACAATTCTAGTCTGTATGTATCAAAACATAGACCATACTGGCCGCATACCTCGTCAATCAGAGAAACCTCTGGTAGAAAACACGGAGCGAGCAATTTGAACGCTGTTGCTGGATACGAAGGTGTTTCCTGTGAATTATGAAGGAATAAAAATCAAAGTTATGGTAGCAGTTAGATTCAAATGGAGGCCTAAACAGTTGAAATGGAGTTCAAAACTGTATGGTACCAATAAAAAAAGGTGCAAGGTAAAGTACATAAATTGCGTATATGAAACCCTGTCCAAAATAAGATGCCAGTAACGATGAAATCTACCTTGAGTTTGACAAGCAATGGCACGAAACAAACAGATCCGGTGCCAATGTCACGTGGTATAACCAGCCTTGGCTCACATGATAGTACGTATAGATGGCGAAAAGCTTGGAGGTGGTAGCTGCAAACAAAAATAAATGGGATACAAAAAGGTCTTTCTTTTTTCCCCAGGAAAGAACAATAAAATGCATGGCTAGAAAGGTAATTTTTTTGTTTACATTTTAAACTTGCACCATCTATTTGTTCCAATTTTCTTCTACCATAAACTGCATGCAAAAATTTCTGCATCAAATACAATCTGTCACTTACCTGGTTGGTTGAAGAAAAAATATATTTCTTTAGGGTAAACAAAGCTTTTTAAAATCTTTTATGGCAAATATCTCATGCCTATTTGAGTTTGATAAAACACGTATGCTTTATCATGGCTTAGTGCAACCAAGAGAAAGCAAGATTCAATCAGGTAGGCAAGGAGTACATATTAAAAGGCATTAATGAAGAACGAAGAAATATGAAGAAAAACAACACAAGGATGGATTCAAAATAGGTATCGATGTTATATTACCGATTGTCTCTGGTATTATGAGGAAATTTTGGGTAAAGGGAACAGAGCAGGCCAGCAATTGCTTTGTTGTTTGTGGAAAGTGTAAACCTAGAAAGGACGAAGGAAATGTATTTAGTCAGCATTCTGAAAGGTATAGCAATAACAAGTTGTAATAACACCATCCATACGGTCCACAAGACTGGAAATTGCATTATGGGAGCTGGAGGAAGATAAAAGGAAGAAAGGAAGTGGGAAGAGAGAGAGAATAGAAAAGGGTTTGGGCTTAGTGACCAAGAAAACGAGAATTTTCGACAACAATTGAATATTAAACAATAAAATGTAGCACACAAACAAACTGTCAATTTGGCAAACATTTTCATTCGGATGGAAATCCTGTAAGTTACCAAGTTGCCTTACACACTGGTAAGCTTATTGAAAGACAAATTTTAAAATTCTTTTTGTGCTAAAAACACGAATGATATCAGTCAGTGAACCTTTATGGTCTAAAAATTTTTCGATGAGGGAACCAGTTCACATCTAATCAGACTAACGTATGGATTAGCTAAGAGATATTTGATGACAATACCACCTCAAAGCAATACAAAGCAAACTAGAGTGACAACGAAAAAGGGACTGCATGAAAAAAAGTTAGGTTCCATTTGGGCCTCTTCTATTACCTGCCAAATCCTAGAAACAAGAAACCAATAGCCATATGTACTGCCATGTGATTTCCGTAGGTTATGTCTGCATTGCAGCGCTTTCGAAGTCTGCGGGCAATGCGCAAAACCTGCAAATTTCCTGTTCCTGCCATTACCTGAATTAAAGAGAAGCATAATAAAAGGTGAGCATGGAAGCAAAGGAAGGACAGAAAACGTTGATTGTGGAGAGTAAATTTTTCATTTGAGAATGTTGCTGCAAGCTACTGTTGAGCAAGTGGTTCTCTCTATGACAGAATTCTTTTAAAATCTTTTGAAATCAGCTGTTGTCTTGAATTGCATTGATCATCGCTAGCTATATATTTGTTTTAAGGAAATACATTCGTTAAGATTTCAAATAAACTTGACTTGTTGGAGCTGTATTAGGCTTTGCTCTATTATTACCTCACCAATATGTTAAACCACCATTAGGTGTTATGGAAATCTCAATCTTTCTTCAGTTTCTTCAATGGGATTACAATGATGAAAATATTTGGGAGCTCCTTGGTATTCCTAATTAAGTATGCAAAAAAGCTTGTTTTCATTCGTGATAAAGCAAGTTAGCAACCAAAAAGGAAAGCCAAGCCAATACTTTTCATGATGCTTGGAATCAACTTGCGTAAATAAAAGCAAAGGCAATTAAAAAATACCAAAATATGCTTACTCACCAAGCTAGTAGAAACGAGCACGGTAGTGAGACACATTTCGATCACAGCTCTACCACCCTGTTTAAAAGGTAAGTGATCGACATTTTACAGTGACTGTTATAGAATGTGACAAAACATATTTGATTTGCAAGCCGATAACACTGTAGGTGGGAGCTTTTCTTAAACACAGTTCTCACGAGCGTAACATTGGTCCAGTGTTGTTGATAATAAAAGCAGTATATTGAGTCTGAATTAATAAATTTGAAATATAAGCTAAAAAATGCCAAAAAATGATGGAAATAGATGCAATTTTACAAAACTATACAAACCTTTTCAAAAATTGGATTAGAAGCCAATTTCTGAAACTTTTGTGTGAAGTGAATCTGAAAAAATATGCCATACAAGTCATGGAGAAAAGAAATACGTTATCACCTCTTTCTAAAACATTCATTATTGTTAAAATTTATTGCAAATAGATGAGGAGTTTAGGTTAGCATTTATTCATTATGGGTAAAAGAAGAAAAGGAATGTTTGGGATTCGAAAGGACAAAAATCGAGATATATCTAGACGAAGTGACATTTGATAAGAGGGAATAAATAAAAATGTAAAGGGGTTTGAGTTGTTCTGCAAAACAATCAAGCCTGGAAAGCAAATCTAATATGTAACATTAAATTCGCAAATACTCAGACATGATGTTAACATAATACTGAAAATGCACTGCATGAGAACTGTAAGAGGAAAGAATTTGAATGAATACACGAGAAACATGATGGCAAACGATTAACAAGAGAAAACATGACTATCGTCTTGAAAAATAAAGTCTTACTAGTGTGTCAAAAGCAGATTGGTTTGCGCTTGCAGCAAACTTGATGCCAAGTGCCATACAGCAACCAGCAATGATACAGCAATATCCAAGACTAAAACACGGACCAAGCAATTACTTGCATCCTAGTTAACAAGTACATTTTGCAGAAAACTAATTGCAATAAATGGAAAGAAAACGAGCTGGAAGAAAGAAATTGGCTGAAAAACGAGAAAAAAGTATTCAAAAATTTATCAGTATTTCATATTTTAATAAAATTAACATCGTTTCTTGTTAGATAAAAAACCATTTATAAAGCAATTCGCTGAAAAACGAGAAAAGTAATCAAAAATTCATCAGTACTTTATATTTGAATAAAACGAGCACTGTTTCTTGTTAGCTAAAAAACTAAGAAAATGAATAAACGATGAAAGAGGAGCATTTCCTAAAATCTTACCGCAGCGTCTCCTTGTCAGCATCGTACGCTGTCTGTTGTTTCACGTCAAAAGAAACATCATCAAATATCTAGAAAAATCAAGCAAATGCGTGAAGATCATGAAATTGGCAAAAGAACGATTCACATTTTCACTGACTCCGAAGTGCTGGGGCATTTTGATAGAACGATTGTGTAAGCAAATCCTCCGCTAGCGTTCAACACTGAAACGAAATACTTGAAATCTCATTAACTTTATGGGAAAAATACAAATAATATATTGGGAAAACCTTGGACATAACATTTCAAAAAGGAGGAAGCGATTTGGGAAGACTGTTATGTGTTTATTCGAGCTGTACTTATTTATCAAGAGTACGCTGGCGTGTCTAAAGTGAAGATACTTCATACAAAGAAATTCCACCAGTTCATTTAAAAGACATTTCAACACAACAAAAATTACCAAGGCCTTATATCAGGATACAAATCAGGTAAGGTAGGTTTGCCAGTAACAAGAATTTCCTCTCTTCTTGGTTTTAAAAATGAAAATCAACAGCGTATTAAAAAATTGTGCAACCCCTATCTACTAAGCAATTTTAAAATTGAAGTATTTCACAAAAGGTTGGAGACAAGAATGAGAAGTACAAAAAATGAAGGCATTTGATAGGGTTTGAAATTGCGTCCTGACAGAGAAAGTGATACCTGTGGCAAATGACTTTCAACCCAATCAACAGATGGAAGTGTCTCTTCCCACAAAATCAACCCTCTTGCCAGTAACTAAAAAATATAAAAATATCATAAATTATAGATACACCAAGAATAAGTGTTATCAGTGGTCTTTTGAATTTCTAGGTGTAATAAAATGGAAATTCATATATGTTTACCTTATGAAAAATGCAATGGTTTTTTCGGCTTCGTAAGAAAACAGTAAGAGGCGTTTATGCGGACACAGTTTGTTTTTTAAAGCTTTTGGCTTCTGTATGTAATAAAAGCGTATCGCTTGAGAAATTGTACGATGATAATAAAATCAAAACTGTAAAATGCGAAGAATATAAAATTAACTGTTAATAACATCATAAAAGATTATATGGAATAATAAGTGCTAGGAAGTATTACTAAGCACAAATATGATGATTTTCAAGAGAGAAAAGCGGCCGAATGGTTGTTCTTGAAAAGAGCAGAGGGTCTTAAAGGAAATGTATTTGCTTTGAAGAAATCACGAAAGCTTTGACCAAAATTCCGAGCAAGAAAGGAAACCCAGAGCCTTTGATTTTCTGTAACAGGCTGAAATGGTTTCCAAACTTTTACAAATGTGTTCTTATATTGAAGATGTCTAGTTGGCAAAAAAAATCTGGAGGTTTAAAGTCTGCAGTTTAAATTATGCGAGTTTTACTGTAACACGACTTTATATAAATGTCGAAAAATTCATAGCCTCTGTCGAGAAAACGAAGAAGTGGCGGACACTTGGTCAAATATTGGAGGGGGGGAAGACTATTGTTTTGATGAAATGACGTCAAATTTTCCATTGTTTTAGAACAAAAGACCATTGTTTTAAAACATGGGGGGGGGGGGGATCGCTCCCCTTCGCTATCGAATTTTTATTGGACTTTGACATCAGGTGATATATGCATAACTTTGAAACACGTGCATTTAAGCAATAGCAATACCAAATTTTAGTCACCATTTCTTTACAAATGTGTATTCAAATATGGAAACATCATCTACGAAGACCTTCCAGGTTCTTCATCTATAGCAAGATGAAGACATAACATTTATTCCTATTGTTGGAAATTACAAAGGCCAGTTACCCTCAGAAGTAAATTGTCAGGTTTTACTGTATCAAGATTAGCTGTGGTATCCGGTGAACTGAACCAGTTTGCTATTACTCTAAAAGAAAGAGAAAAAAACCAAATTAGAAGTTTTGGATCATTGCTAAACAAAAATACCACCATTCATTGACCAAAATCATTCATCAAAGATTAAAGTAGACAGCCATACAAAAAAATGTCTCAATCTTACGCCCATTTGAACACATTATCCATGGAGGATACAAATCTTTCGACACAATAACGAATTTTGTTGACAAACAAAAGTAAATCAATGAAATATTAAGTTTTCAAATTCTATTTTTTCTTCAACATGCAAATGGGCGATAAAGATCATTTAGTTTGTTATAAGCAACATCGAGTCGGGCCTTGCAACTTGAGCAAAGAAAACCTGACTAAGAGATTCAAACTGGGAGAATTGAGGAGGAAGTGTTCTTCATCGCCCAGAAGAGTTTATACGAGCAGGCTCGAAAATCTCAAGTCCCACTGAACATTAACTCGGAGCACTGCTAGTGAAGAATCATAAAAATGCAAGAGCAAAGAGCACACCTGTTGTTAGTCTTAAGGTAAATGAGTGTAAGCGCCATTATGGCACTGGGGCACGTGACGTCAGTGTTCAGCTTGTCACCCTCCTGGAATCAAATGACAATAGGTACAGTCATTACAGAGTGTCATTTCACTTTTATCTGATACTTTTTACCCATGGGAATCCCACAGGGAAAAGCCTGACTTACAGGGAAACTTGCGAGAATACACAAAAATACCCGCGACCTACAGGGAAAAGATTGACTAATAAGAAATTCAAAACTTTCTTCGAAAATTTTTTTCATCATGAGGTAAAGAGAAGAAAGGCAAAAATAAAAGTGAAATTTTCGACAGATGAGATATAATTAGTCAAATTGACCTTGATAAAATTTGTAAATGAAAAGGAACATTTAGCTGCTTTCAAAGAAAATTTCTCTACCAATAATTTTGGTAACAAAAGGTTTGAAATATCAACTTTGATTTGGCAAACACAATATGAACCCGAGCAGCACCTGCATAATAGCATGCAATAAATGCAAGGGATAATAATGCGTTTATCTACGACGGGAATGTTCAACCGACATAGGGAAGTTCCTCAATTAAAAACTGAATTGCACGAGCTTACCTTGATGAGGTAGCTTGGAGACTTGAAAATCTCCCTCAAGTAAGTTGGCTTTAAAAGAAAATTACAAAGAATTTAGTGAAGTCTATGTTTAGGTGATAGCAAACTTTTTTAACCAAGAGTCTATCGATCACAACAGCCTCATAGCATATTGAAAAGAAAATTTTTTTAAGAAACCAGTTTGTAGCAAAGACACTTCAGATTTAATATGTTTCGTAAAATATTAACGTCTAAAAGTCTAAGAGTCTAAAAAGGAAAAATTGCTAAAACTCTGGACAAAATTGTACCGGCTGTGAAATGGCATTGACCAGGTGCTAACGTCTTTGAATTCGAGACAATGCTTGTCTTTATGATAACAAAAATTATGGATATATATATCTTGATAGTTTCTGTATAATCGAGAATTTTTACTCGGTTTTTACTCGAATTTTTACTCGAACTTTTACTATCAGTTTCTTTACTCGGCTGCGTAGTTCATACAGCGTTAGGTAGCCCCCTATAAATGAAGCACAAATTTGTGACATATCAATATGATATCAAATAAAATGCATACCAGTTCACACTGTTGCCCTCCAAAAACCAAATGATGAAGTTCTTGAGTTATTTTCAGATCCGAGAAGTAAAGGGAGTCAGTTCCTTTCTAAAACATAAAAGGAAAAAAGCTCTCTGCATTCTGGAACTTTGTTTTTAAAATGATTTGATATAATTGAATCCTGCATTCAAAGTAACAACCATAATTATGAGGAAAAGCTGGATTCTGATTGTCTGCTTGCCAGAATTTGAATCTAAATATCCTGCCTACTTTTTGAATCCCCTTAACAACAGTGAATCTAAATACCTCTTTCATTGCAAAAATTATTTAGAATTCACTATATCAGAAATTAAGTCATTACGGATCTTCTGAATGAGACAACAATTTTCTAAAGATCTAGTTTCTCCGACCAGCTATGTTTAATTACTCCGTATGAAACCCAGTCATTTGATCCTGGTGAAGATGTAAGAATAACGATTAATCAATAGCAACTTATATTTAGAAATTACCCCAAGAAGAACCATTCCGAGAGCGAAACCTGCAGCCAAAGAATGTGACTCTCGACAAATCGCGTTCTCCATTTCAGGACCAGGCGGCCTAGATATCTCTTGCAAAAATATTTTGACCAGATGGCGTTCCATCGTTTCCATATACAAGAGTCCAGTGCCAAGAATCGCAGCAACTTTGGCTGAATGTGGAATGCTTATTTCCAATGCAGTTGGGGGTAAAAGTGCGTCTACATGTACTGCTAGAAGCTTGTAAATTTCCGCGTCTCTGCTTCCGCATCTGAAAAATTACAAAATTTGTATTTTGAATACTCGAATAATCACCCGGAGGGGCTATAGAAATGAAATTTTGAGTGTGTAGCAACTTTGGGGGCATTGTTGAAGTTTTCAATTAATACACGATATCTACCAAAACTAGAATAAAATTATTCTGTCAATATAATATGCCATTTTGCTACCAGGCAACTTGCTTATTACACTAATTTTTTTCAATTATAACTTCTTCAACCCCATTTTAAACAAATATGTTTTTAAACTAGAACATTGGCTGAAAAGTTATTGCATTTCTGAAAATGGCACGAAATGCACGAAGACGTGAAAAGATAGTATAATTTTCTGATTGAAAATAGGCAAAAATGTTCTTATTTCATTGAAAAGTTGGTATGCATCGCAGTCTACGAATAGTCAGAAAATATCGAGAAGAAAAGAGAATTCTATTTTAAAAACAAGTTACTTTGCAGCTGTAATGCCTAACAGCAAGGCAACACTTGTGAATCCATGACCCTACAAATGAAATCAGGAATGAAAAACAAATCACAGTAAACACATAATCCCAATGTCTACGTGGATATAAAGTAAGAAGCAGATACTATTTTGATGAATCTCTTATTGGCTTGTATAGATGAAGGAGGATAGGGATGAGAATATTTAAATAATTGTAAGCGTTTGAATTTGAAAGGATCGACGGAAATAGCACGAGGGTATTCTTAGCTTTTCTTGTCAGACTTCTAGTAAATAGATGGATCAATGATAGGGCAACTGAGTAAGGCTAGTCGTTGATTCAGGCTTTAGAGATTGGCAGGGTTAGGCGGTTGATTATAGTGTCAAAATCCGATTTCAATTCAGCCTGCTAAAAAGGGGTTTGTCTGTACTCCCGAGTTTAACTTGTCCTTAAGTTAAGAAGAAAAGGATTTTTGCCAAAGTAAACTCAGATGTCAATGTTGATCAAGGAACAAGCTTGCTGAAGGTGACATTAGATCAGCATAAAGGAAAATATATGGGCTAAAACATACAAAAATTTAAAATTGCTTTTTATCAATCTGTCACCAGTGCTAATTGCCGCATGGGCAGATATGTACAAGCTTTTGAAAGATAGAACAGGATGGTTCTTAGTTGTTTTTCTGAGTTTCACGCATCATGTCATTATCAGGCAACTAGTAAAGTTACTCTCTCTATGGGTAATATTATATCTAGTTCTCTAGAAGTATCGGGATTTCAATGCTCGTACAATGTCTGCCAAAAGTCTTGGAACACTGACGTCATTTTCCAAGGTCAGAATCAATCATCCCCCTCTCCCCCACGGAACAATGTTGGTTTACTATAAAACGAGTTAGGATATTAGGAAGCACTTTCTTTTGCGCTTCTTTTATGATATTCTCTAAATTATCAACATTGTTCTTGGGGGAAAGAAACGGAAGTCGTAATTTTTTTCGGAAAAGGAAAGAAAAATATGAGATGCAATGCAAATTGCTAGGTGTTCCAAGTACTTTGGGCAGGCATTGTAGGTGCTAATAAAGGGGCAATGTTTTTGATCATTTTGAGTTTGTCTTCCTCGAATGGATATATTTCCTCCAGTTGTGGGAGAAGAGTTTGCTTATGAATGTTGTACGTGTATTTTTTGAACCAGTGTGTTAAATGTTTTTTTCAAAAGTAAGGGCAAAATACCATAGAGTAGTGGAGGGGAAAATACAATGAACTGACTTTGGTAATATAATCGTAGAGAAGGTGAGGCGGTAAAACGTGAAGATGCCCAGTCAAGCCAACACCCATTAGAAAACCAGCTAATTCTTCATTCAATTCTTTATATTTCAACTTATTGTAGACAATCCATGTCGAGTCAATCTACAAATGAAGCAGATGAATGTGAATTTTGTTAATAGAGAAAAGCATAATATATAATGGGAAATGGGTAGAGGAAGTAAATAAAAAACAGTGACACTTAGAAGCACCGTTTTTTAAAAACAAAACATTCATAATTATTATCAAATATAAATTGAACAGCAGGGAAAAAACGAATCTAGAATCTAAAAACTTTCAACTGAATACAGCAAATCGAGACAAACAAATGTTTGCATCGGGTTTTCCAAAAACCTGAAAATTCAAAACAAAAGTGATTTGATAGAAAGCTACTCAATTCAAGCGTAAATGAAAACAAAATATACATTGGCAACGGCAGACATTGCATCTGCAAAGCAGCTCAAAGTTCAAGAGGGCAAGAGAAAGCTCTCTGTAAAAGGAATCTCTTTACCAAAGGATTATTCATCTAAAACGAATCTTCCTGCAAAAGGAATCTCTTCACTAAAGGAAAACTGATTAGGAAAGGAATCTCCTAAAGGAAAAAATCTCTTCACGAAAAGAAAACTCTTTACTAAAGGAATCTCCTAACGGAAGGAATCTTTTCACGAAAAGAAAACTCTTTACTAAAGGAATCTCCTAACGGAAGGAATCTTTTCACGAAAAGAAAACTCTTTACTAAAGGAATCTCCTAACGGAAGGAATCTCTTCACGAAAAGAAAACTCTTTACTGAAGGAATCTCCTAAAGGAAAACTGCGTACTAAAGGAATCTCCTAAAAAAAGGAATCTATCCAGGAAAAGCCTCACTACAAAAGAAGGCCATAAGTACTTAGAGCAAGATCGTTGATTTTACTTAAACTCTACTTGCAAACTAAATGACAAACCTGGGAACTACCATAGGCTATTTCCAGACCTGCAGCAACTCCGTTGTGGAAGAGAGGCCACTGAAATCGATCAGCAGGCAGGTCAGTTTGGGATGGGAGGTTGATGACTTTGTTGCTGCAGAAATATAAGTATACGATACAGTAAAAACCCGCGAATGAGGACTTTGATTTTGAGAATTTAGACCTCCTCGATTTTAATTTCGTCCAAGTTTTCCACATAAAAACCTTATTTTATTAACCACATGTAAACCACATATTAACCCAATATATTTGTTTTGTTAGGTTTTGACTATCTTTAGATATTATAACATTACTGCATGGTATGAACATTACGATTTTGCTACATAAATATAAGAACCTATTTCGAGAACTTTGATAGCCTAAATCCACTTAAAGTACCATTCATGTAAAAACCCGTTTAGGCTAATTGAAAAAAGCCGGGTTCTTATGCGCGGGTTTTTACTGTAATGAAATTATATCAAATTCAATAGCTAATTACAGTAACCACTAAGTATCATCAGAAGTTAGAGGTCGCTAAAGCTGCAAGTTTTACATTGAAAATGTCTTATAAAAGGTTTCCTTTTAATCATTCGAGGTTTTGCTGTTTGATGCCCTGAGCAAAAAGAACATCAAAAAATTAAGAAAAAGGGTCGTTAGTCAAGTCCAGTACTTTTAGGTTAACACTGCATGAAGTTGAAGATTTGGTATAAAACATCAGCAAAGCTCAGGGGTGTAGAGCTAGGGTGGCTAGAGGGGACGGGGGGCTGAGCCCCCTTGTTGATGCAGAAAATGTGCAAAATTTAGTTTAGCTCTTGATTTTCGCAACATTTTGTGCAAGAGCCCCCCTTGCTATTTTAGTAGAACTACACCACTGGCAAAGTTGTATTATTTAGGAGCAAGGTTGAATGATAAATTTCAAACTATTTATTTGTTGCAAGCACCAAGTTGGTTTATATTAGGGCTCAAATTATGGCCCTCCTCGTCATATTGACCTCATCACATTCGGTACTCGAAATAGAGTTTGAAAGCATGCTTACTAATATGTAGCGTGATTTTAACAAACCTTTGCATATCCTTTCCAGTTAGTTCAAGCGTTGGAATCCCTATAACCTCTCCGATTGTAGGCTCTGTCATTCCCAGTCGAAATAATCCTCTGCGAAAAGGTTTTGCTAAAGATCAGGCAATCAGTAACACGAAAATCGAATATGTTCTCAGCAAAACAGAAAGATTACGTCATAAATATGAGTTTCTAACTATTGGTCGAAAGACAATGATTTTTTAAGCATTAGCGGTTAATTCTTAAAAAACTTAGGGAATACAGAGAAAACGTTAAGTGATGTGATATTCGAGTATAAGTTACAGAAACTATGCATCATCACCTGGCAACGGGCAAAGCCATCGTCCTTTTAGAGCGCAATAAAAGCTTCGATTCTTGTTCTTTAATGAAGTCGTGATCGCTAAAAACATATGAAATCAATAAGAACACACAAGAACAGTTCAGTAAAAAGGTCTGTTTTCAGAACGTTAGTTTCTTAAAATTTTATAAAATTGTCAATAGTTAGAAAGATATGCAATGTTTTTGTATGAATAAATACTACTTATAATGTTGAAAAATATAGACCGGGTAGCGTTTATACCCAGTTTGACACTACGTATTAAAACCTTAGAAAATGTTTCCTCCGGGTAACCATTACTTTCCTGCTGCGACTCAGCAGACACAAGCGCCCAAATCCTTGCTCGGACCGAGGCCCTTTTGTACTGCTGGGTCAAACGTTTATTTACTTCGTGACTTTTAAACAGTAAAAAAATATGTCAGGTTGATTCTTCCTTCGTACATAGAGAATTGCTTAACCGAGTTCAAGAGACATAAATATACAAAGGAGCAATCACCTAACTTCCGGTTTCTGAATTATGTTAATAACTACTGGGACTGATGACGTAAGAAGCCTCTCAACTTCATCCACCCTGCGATCATAGCTGAAGCGCATCTTGAAAACCTGCAAAAACAAGCAGTATAAGTGAAAGTATCAGGGTTTGTGCATACAACGTGACGTCACCCTTAGAGATATCATAATAGGGAACAGGGCATCAAGAGGTTAAACATATCTTCTATAAAACTAATGAAAGCTTTAACAAACTAATAATATACAGCTACTACATTTTGGTTGAATGATTAAAGTTGATATTATCCAATAGTAGAAAACCAGAGAGGGGAAGTCTTTTGACAGCAGATGGTTATAATCAGAAATGGGTGAGAATAGCCAATAGAAAAGGGAGCATTTCTGATTGCGTTTGCATTGACCAGCCAGCGTCTTGTAGCCTTTGAAAAAGCAGAGGCCAGTAGTATTTGACCAATCAGAGGCATGTAACATTTGATGTGGCCGTAAACGCTATTTATAAGCCCTGTCTACACGAATGAAGGGGCTTTAAAAGTAACATGCCCCTAAAATGTACCCGTAGGAGCATGGTTTACTGATGTTTTCGGTTAAGTCTGATAAAGATAAAGATGAAGAGGGCTGGTGCATGTTTTTTTCTCTCTGCAGTCTTATTTATTGCTTTCTTTAAATAAAAATTTTTACAAGAACAGTTTGTTGCTATGTTACTAAAACTCAGGTTTGAAAAACACAGAAGAACGAATACCTCGTTAGTCATGTAGCAGCTAGGTCCATGAGCCTGAAAAGGAAAGCGTCATCAAAAATGAGAGCAGGATACTTGGAAAAAATCTATAGCACAAAATGAAACACCATTACTGAGATAAAACATATCTTCTACCCTCATTGTATTGTAGATTGACTTTCAACTGTTCAAATTTTTTAACGTAAAAGCAACGTAGAACAGAATTGTCCAGTGAATTGCAAAAATTTTGAATTTTACTATCGATTATACTTAAGGTTAATTGAATTTTGATTAAATGAATGACAAGAGTGACCTGAGAATGCGATCTTGTTAATGACTCCGCAACTGAATGATCTGTTATTGTTGCAAGATCTTCCCTTCCTATAAAATGTAAGATAATAAAAAGCAAGTGATATCCAAAAAAACTACCTATTGTCTAATTTAGAGTACCAAACATAGTTAAAAACCATTCAGAGCACAGAAACATCAGACTAAAGATGGCAACAAATATTAAAAACTCTGATTCTAAAGAGACTTTGCGTCATAAATAGGTTATGTCAGCGAATAGCGATTTTTCCAGAGGTAAAAGGTAGCAATTAAGAGTTGTGCATTAATATCATATCATATCATATCATATCATCTTAGTTCGCAAACACCTGTTAGGACACTAGATAAAAACACCCACCAACAACAGGATTGAAGCAACGGAACTATAGAGTAGAGTCTTAAAAAAACCACAAAAGAACTTGGCTAATAAGTATTCTGGGTTTTATACCTTTCTTGTCATTATATGAGGCATCCCTACTACCCTAATGGGTGGGTGATTTTACTGTTTGGACACGGAGCACTCTTACACCACCTTAGGAATCTCATTATTAGCGAAAAACAACAATAGGTAGCCGATTCGAGATACTGAAAAAAAGATCCAGTGTAAAATTCTACCTAGCAAGCGAGCCGATGATGCCGTTATATTGCCTGACGCTTTTTGACGATAATGGTGCAACAGTTCTTGATAAATGATCGCCAAACCAAAAGGAAGGCGCTCCAAGTCCACTTTGTGGAAACCTTAAAAGAAATCAGTTTTAGTAAACATTAAAAAAAGGAAACTTGCTTATATCTGTCCAGCAGTCGATAACATTCAAAATCACATGAAATGTGGCATGCGGCGGTATATGTGGTATCTTAAAGGTAGCTTTTGGAAAATACATCTTTCTAGACTATCTTTGGGAAACAAAATCGTTTGATATATCCTTTAACAGAAAATCGATGTTTATTTGGCCTCACTCAACATAGATACTCTTATTTGGCCTTATAGAAACTCTCTCACACACAAGAGCGTTGTAGATACTTGATGCATGAGAAACCTGGAAGGGATCTTAAACCAAACACACAATTGATAAAATTAAATTTTAAACAAGATTCCTTATGCAACTATTATGATTATTTCCTACGAAATTTGCTTTATAATCATTTTCGAAGACGATAAAGAGAGATGCTTAGGGAAAACATGTATAGTTTTAAGAACACACTGAAGGGTACAGGAACATAAATGGTCCTGCCTAAGAAAACACTTTACTTTTGGAATATCTTTAAATCTGATCTGGTGTATTTACCTGATCCTGAAAAGATATCGAGCAATCTTTCGGCACAATCTTGTTTCCGCAACCTAGCAAAAAATACAATGAAATTAGAACGAACATGCGGTAACTTGGGCAACGCTGGTTTGCATTCGCATGTAGTCTTATGTTGTCAGCAACTGCATGAATAAAGGGGTCTTGGATCCTTGAAGTCTAATCAAGCTGTAAGGTACTAGATTGCGTGCGGTACAATATGATGCTTTAATAACGATCAATGTAAGTGAATTGTGCCAGGAAAAATATCTTTATACATAGCCCGTTATCATTATATCTGTAAGTAAATGGTTTGGCAACTTAAAAGAAAAAGCTTTTTCAAGCATTTTGAGTTTAAAGCTCTTTTAAAGGAATTTCAGAGGGAATTTAAAGGGAGTTTAACGCTGTTCCCATAATGCAGACTACACAGTTAAAGTAGCTTCGACAATCTTTCACTTGTGATTCGTGCTATAGGCCAACATTAACTTAAGAATCCAGAGTGTGCCAAAACATCAAGGTCGTATTTTCATTTAGGAGTTTGGGAATCTGTCTACATCAAAACAAATGATCCCGATATGTGCAGACGAAAAGAGTGTTTTCTCTTCCGGACTCTTCAACAAGGTGAGAGATTAGTGGCTGCGATTGGTCAAAAACAGAGAACCAATCAAACGCGCTATTTTTTCCTCTCAGGTTACTTTTAATCCGCATATGCTTACATTTGGACAACTTCAAACGTTTATACTCCAACAACTGTCGGCTGAAAAGTACTTCAGTGTGATATGTCTCAATTTTTCTGAGCTATTTTCTAATCTTTTACGTCTTAGAAATCAGTGGTAATGCATACTTGTGGTGATGCAGATGATTTGTTTGCCAAAATACCGAAATTAGAAAACTACATGTTGTGACTTAAGAAAAATGTAATGCTAGATTAAAGAAAATGTTTGAACGAATGCACTATATATACACGAAATTTACAAGATACCTGTTAGGATCTGAAATCTGGAGTTCTGAGATCATCGAATCTGGACTTGCAGTGATTCCACTTGATAAAAAGCTTGTGATGCAATACAAAGTCTGCAAATTCAAACATGCATATTTCAATATAAAAGTTTTCGTCTGTCAGCTAAAGACCGCGAGGTTTACGCTTTTTTGCTTCTCTGCTCATCACTTCAAATTCTATGTCAGTGTTATTGTTTTTCTGGTTTCAGTATCTATTTCGACTAACGCTCTACATAGAGTGAAGTCATTCTTGGGAAATAAAAAATGAAGATCATATCGAAAAGGAGGACAAGAGTTCTTCTGAACAATTATATCTTTTCGGTGTTTTTAAATTTTACTTCAGATGCTGAGTAGAAAGAAATTAAGAATCAGCGCAAACAGGTGCATAAATGTACATTGACGTGAATGAATTAACAGTCAAACCTTGACAATCAGTTGAGTGTTCTTAAAGGGAGACATGAATTCTGACGGCATCTACAATGAGAAAAACGTACTTATAGGGATGATAAAACTTAGAATGACGCGTAATTAATTTTGAAAAATGCGGAGGAGACAGAAGATGGATATAATATGCAGCAGGATTTGAGACCTAAACAAGATACTTGCAATTATGCGATATTAGAGAAAAAGACAAACAGAGATTATAGAAAAGCTGGGGAAGAAAATAGAAAGGGAGAAGATGAAGTCTAAACGCAACAAAAGAGTTCAAGAAATTTTAATGTCGTGGAAAAAGTCTTCAACCCGCATGCGGACAAAGATTCGATCATCCCTGCTAAAAAAGCAATGGTTTTCCAAAAATTGCAATATGCTATGTAATAGTGGAAACAAAAATTTGAAATTTTGCTGTTCTAGAGACTTGCTGCACATAATTTATTTAAAAGTGAGGGTGTAAACCTTTTGCAAAGTGACTTCATGAATCACGTGATCTTCTATGTTTTTCAAAGGGATGAAATTCACACCTTTCGAGTGCAAATCTTCGAGTTGATCTGAAGTTGAAATAAAAAAACATCATCAGTTTTCATTATGGGACAAACTCTCGTAAACAAAAAGTATGTTTAGCTTACAAATTATTCTAACCTTTTTGAATGTGAATACTTCCACCTTTTGGGCTTCCTTCAAGTTCTGGAAAATCACTGATGTAGTGTGTATAATGTGCTTCGAGTCCCAGGCACCTGAAGATGATGACATATAGGTTTATCAAAGTTTAATATATGTTGCCACCTAATAAGAGTGAATACAATAGCACAACGAATGTATTTGGGGTTCTTAGGAAAAACGTAGACGGGATCCATATATATGGACTGCAAGAGAGTCCAATCCAAGGGTGCAGAGCATGCTAATCACAATAGAAAGTAGTTAAAATGATAATTTTCATCTTTTACTACGGAATAGGGGAGGCTGAGTTATTTGCTTCAGTTAAAGAACCTTGAAAGTTTTTGAAAATAAGGTGAATCTTAAAACATGGATAGAAATATATTTATGGTGGGGTTTTTGATCCTTAGAAATCGAACTTAGGTGCCATAAAGTGCGTTAAACCACTGAGTCAATCTAAGCAAAGTTTTATCAGTCTAAATTAATCATGAAAAATATAAGACAAAAGAACTGAAAAGTCATCCAATTTTATGATGGATATTCGAAGCAAAAAAGATGAGTGAGATCAAATATAATTTTGTAGATATTTACCTTGAAAGTAAAACCAGAAGGTTTGCAAGATTTTTCCTTTGACTAAATGTCATTATGTTCAATTTAAGGTCCTAAAAGTGAGCATAAGTCATTAAAAGAATAACAAATATGAAAAGTAAACATCCTAACTAATAACATAAACACTTTAAATAATCAGGTTTATATTTCTAAACAGGAATCAAGATATAATTAACTATATTCTTTTCTTTTAAGCATTAATATGGGTTGGCATCTTTCACAAGCAAATTTTTACTCAGTAAATTTAAGAAAACTACCTGGTATGTTATAAAAAGGTAAGAAATCTGGTCAAAACATGCGTAATGGAGACTTTTCATTGTAGTTAGACATGCTGTGAACCTGATCAACAAATTCATTTTGCGTTGATGACGCCCTGTGCCAGAGAAATGGAAAAGTCAGCAACAAACCTCGTATAGGAGATGCCAATCTTTAAACAGCTTCGGAATCCAGTCATAAAGTGGAGTGCTTGGGTTTAGACTAGAAAGCAACAAGACGATAAAACCGTCACACGCATGTTCCAATGTCTTGTATATTGAGCACGAAGCGGCAAGGGGGTAGGTAGAGGGTGGCAGGGGGGCCCGACCCCCCCTAAATATTTTAGAAGCTCCCCAAACCAAAACGTTTGTAGATCGTACTGAGTTTGAAAATGTGCACATTTTGCCTCTTAACCCTCTCCCAGTCAACTCAATTTTCCCAGTCAACTCAATTTTCCCAGTCAACTCAATTTTCCCAGTCAACGGACGACCAGTTGAAACACTCTTGAAAAATGGTTATACTTTTTTCTTTTTGAATTTAATTTAAGCAGATTTTAATGTCGATTTGGTTTCTAGGATAAATGGTAAAAAAATTGTAATTAGGATCAAACTTAAAGGGTAACAAATTAATGTTCTACTTTGTAGGATTAAAGTGGAGGGCTCCTTGCAAATCAGCATTATTGTTGAGGGGTTACACTTCTTAGATATTGTTTGAAAAATGTACTGCTTAATTCATAGAAAGTTACTTTATTTCATCTTCTGCTTCAATCACAGACGAATCTTTGGCCACAGAATGAGCTCCAAAAATCTCTTTGATGTTATTGTGAAGGTCACTTTCTTGTAGGAATTCCCAATCCTTTCAAAGAAATGAGAAAACAGAAACATTAAGAGAAAACTTACATGAAAGGATTAATAAACACATAAACGAGGTCAATAATGTAAATACGAATACGAGGTAAAAAAGGCTACCATGTTTTCACAGAACGAGTCACTTTTCTTTGCTCTTTTTGGCTGCGGAGGCGCTGGACTACTTCTTTTGTTCTAAAATTTATTGAAGTATATATCTTTTAGAAAACAACTGACAGTGGCAATTCAAAAAGTTATTATAGATATAAATTAAATAAAGGGAATAAGGCAGACAACATTTTTGAGGGTTCATTGCATAAATTTAACGAAGTTTTTGGTCGAATGTTTTCCTGGAACGTGAACCGGAACTGATAGTCATAAAAGAGGAAATCTGACTCATATATCATAACGTTGAAAACACCGTCTCTTCTTCTAGCCTCAATAGTTAAGCAATGTTAACCTTGCATCAATCATATGCTCAATTACCTCTATCATAGATTTTCTGAATTGCTCTGGAAACCCCATAAGCATCAAAGTGGTGTCCATAAATTTTCTCCAAGGCGACTGCTCCAAAGAAAGGTGATTCCCCTCATTTAGCACTATGTAATATCTTGCAAAAACGTCAATGAATTGTTCATTTGCTAAATTTGTCATGATCACTTCTAGACATTTCTCAACTGCAAGGGAAATATCATATTAAGCTTACATCTAACTTTCAATTGAAACGTAACTTTAGCACATAACACGAGCAACTCAACATACAGTTGTTCAGTTATTACCTACTCCGAAATGTGTGAAACTGATACCTTTCTTTTAAATACGGCTTGATTACTACAATCCCGGACAAAAATGGTTGAGACTTTTACAGGAAAGCTTATATTTTCGCTTTCCTTTTAAAAATAACTCCCCCCCCTCTCCCCCAATTCAATGTTGAATGCATGATTTTGGAGGAGAAATGATAGAAATAAAAACCCAACATTGATTCGGGGGGAAAGGGGGGGGGATTAGAATTTATAGAGGCGACATAAAGTAGAAAATTGCAGAAATTGCATTTTGAACAATTTTGTCCGGGATTGTAGGTTTACTCTTATGAATTATTCCACCTTCAACCAGAATATTTATGGAAGTTGCCTTATTATTGCATAAAGTGTCAAAATCGAAGTTGCAACTTAGAATCGTCCTGTTCACCTTTAATTTCAATAAGCTCTCAATAAGTTCTTTCTATCTTATAAATTATTACAAAACATGTTACTTTCTACTATACTTATCCTAGTTACTATCCTACAACACATGGGCGATACCAAGGGAGCGAAAGATAATGACTACCCCATGGCCAACAGGCAACATTAAATTACATACAACTACATTACTCGTGATTAAAAACTAATGGCTACAATGCTAGATTCTGTTTGACGTTGTATGCCCGGTCAGGATTTAAAAGTCATGAACGCAATGTGTCTCAATAGGTTTAGTAAGCCTTTAATACATTGTCAAAATCTTTAGTGACAGCACCCAGCAAATCAACAGTAGTTACAACTATGTGTTTATATATAAAATAAGAAGAATTAAAAGTAGATACCTGTTATGATGGTATGTGAATTAATACATGAAATAGATGCAATAGCATTAAGCACAGACAGTTGTCAAATTTAGATTTCTGCAAACTTACTTAGTTCATCTGATGTAATTCTCGGTACATATACTCGATAAAACTGATTATTGGGCAAAACCTGAGAAAAAACAGCTTTTTCAAAATGATTGAAAGATAAATGCATAAAATGCAAGCTGATACTTTCTCTAAAGATGAGCTCTTCCAATGTTCAATTCTCAGTCATTAGAGACAGAATGACTAAGAATTTACAATCAAATTGCTTACAACTTTGAAAGGACAATATATTTGAAATTAATATCTAAACCATCAGCTAAGGTCGGCAGCTCGGGATAAAATTCGATAAAAATAATTACTAAGTATTATCCGGTAAGTTCTATTCACATGCATTCAAGAAAAGCCTATTCAGTAATACCTACCAAAAAGAATTTATTGGCTGTAAAGTCACGCATAGCCACAATATCTTGAAGTTTGACTTGCAGATCTTGTCCTGCAAACATAAAAACTGATCAATGATGAGGCCTACGATGATGAAAGGAAAATAATGGGGTTGGTGAAAATCGAAAGCTACCTAGCATTATCGTCTTTCTGGTTATTTGTGCGTTTTAGGCCTCGGCTATGACAATGTTATATTGATAAATTTGTTTTATACGATTCATCTGCTCTTGTCAACCTTTTTTATTCAAGAAAGCGAAGCGGGTGAAAAGTGCGTAATGGATGAAGTGGTCAGTATCTATGTTATTGAAAGATGGCTAGACTCTTGCATCAATTGTTCACGACCCTGGCTCTTGGCAATCCTCACACCCAGACAGAGCAACTTGGTACAAAACTTGGTTTTCTACATAACCACGTGTTTATACCGATAATCTGATAGCGAACTTGATTGCTGTTAGAAATCAGACATGTCAATCAACAAAAGACCAATAGAAGGGCTAGAAATTGTTTGAGCTGTCGTCAACCACGAAGCTGTAGATGTCAGCTAGGGTGGGAAAACTCGGGCAAGAACTTACCTGAGGGGGGCAGGCTTTAGAACAAGAAAACAGATATATAACAAACAGATATATTTGGACTAAATCAAGCCCACGGAATTATAGTTATGGCAACTTTTCGAAATATCATTTGGAATAACTGTAGGCAGAGAAGGCAAGTTGTTGTCAAATTTTCATTTGAGAGGAGCACAACCTCCCTGCACCTACGTGGCTGGCTGTCCTATATAGTGTTTCGCAAACTTAATTCTTTGCATGCTTTGCCCTGTGCAATGTGAATTTGAATGATTTCAGACCTATACTGCAGCCCTACACTGTAACAGGTATCAATCTACATACTTGCTTTTGGTGTCTCCACCAACTCCGTGCCATATGATGTGCGTAGCTAAAGAACAATAAAAGGTTTTATAACAGCTTTCGCAAACTTGGTGCATTTTAAAATGAAACATTATTTACATTTAACATAAAAATTGACACAACTAAGATCAGAGTGAAAGAACCATAATTAAGTTTAATACTTTTTAGTATAAAAAAGTACGTAGCATAAGCCAACTGGTCTTGGAAATTTTCGTTATGTCCAATTTTCTTTCCAAGAAAGCAAAAACTTTGTAACCAATTATGAAAGGTAACTTTTGTCTATCGTAGTTGACGCGAGCTCAATAAATTCCGTTTTATCAAGCCTTGAAATTCACAGATACCTCATGGTGATGGACAGAATAGAAAGAGAAATTTGATTTATCCTTGACACCGGGGATTCAACCTTGGTCAATTTAAAGAGTCTCGTGGCCCTTAATAAAAGCATCGGATATATAAACATGCATGTCCTGCACTGCAGTTGCAACAAAACCTTACAAGATCAAGAGCAGAACTTTGTTTCTTCTCAAAGGAGTACTTCTGTAGTTTGACTGATGCATCAAAACTGCAGACCTGAAAAAAAGAAAACAATACTCATTATATTCTATAAAATTGTAAAGAAAAGCAATTACGTCATCAATAGTATTTACAATCTTGCTAAATGTTAACGGTTTCAAAGAGCACCATAGAATACCTATAAATGTATAAATTCAGGTATTAATGTTACGAATTGGTTGGAAAAAGCCAGCCAGACATTAGGGTTTTCTCAAGAGTTAATGTGCTTTGGTTGGGCTCATAGAATTTAGAACCAAGACCAAATTACAATTATTTGACGGGGAAATTATCTGTGCTTATGGGGTTATACCTCGGCAAACTATTGACAGAGCTGTTTAAACACATACCTAGGACTATGTCGATAGATTACATTGTCAAGAAGTCCTAATGCCTACAAGGGGGACGATGGTCGAAGGAAACAAGTTTTGTTCTGATATTTGCAAGTCAAACACGGCAACTTTTAGCAAGCAAAAAGGTACGTAGAGGAACAAGAAGACCCCTGCATTAAACATATACATCACAACATGTACCTTGACTGTACCACTGTATAACATCAGATCACCTGATGGTTCTAGAACTGCAATCATTTTCAGGTCCTGAGATTAAAAAAATTAAGAAATAGAGCTTTTTATTTTCTAGCAAAAATTAAAAGTTTATCTGTTATCTTTAACAACAACCAACATATTTAAGCACCTAAAAACAACATTTTTGATTTGCAGCTGACAAAATATGAAAAGTCAGAAAATCATACAAAAACACCAAAGAGTCAAATCAAATTACAAAGATACTAAGAAAATATAATTAGGAGTATTTGACTGAGAAGGAAAAATTACTTCCAACAACTTGTGGAAACCAAAAACAAAAAATGTGCAGAGGGTTAATTTTCTAGACTAGGGATAGTATTCTTTTTGTAAAAAAACATGTTTACTTACTGTTAAACAGCCAGCATCTTTTGCCACGATTTCAGAAGAAGTTCCAAAAAAGTAGGAAGATGTTATTGAGCGCAGTTCAAATTCCACTAATCTGAAAAGGGTGAAATGAGATGCAATTGATAACAACCGTGAAAGTATCATTACTGATGTTGATAACAACCGTAAAAAAGTATTATCATAACTATATTATCGTCTTCACTATTTGTTATATTCCTCATAGGTTGATCATAGATTGTGATTAAATTCAATAAAATGCATTCTAATGACAGAAACCTTTTTGTTTGAGAGAGCTTATAAGAGATGTTTGCAGAAGCAACTTTGCCAAAAAGAACTTGATAAAAAAATTGCTGGGTACATGTATAAGATAACACTATATTGTAAATCTAAGAAATATTTGTAGGTAAAATCTAGAAATGACGTAAGATGCAGAAAAGATTTATACCTTAGAACGTTGAGACCCTTCAATAAAAAACATATGAAGCTTTGTCCACAGATATCTTCAGTGATGAAAACTTTGTCTGCCTTGCATCGTTGATCCGCGGCGAAACTTCATAAGAACAAAGTTAAAATATTCAAAATGATAACATCGTTCAAATTAATGCCTAGAAAAGTAAATTTTATGTACCAATGTTTTTCTATATGTTGGGATAAGGTTTTTCGAAACAAGTTCCTAAGTGGAATTATTATAAACCAATTTCGTCACGTGTGTCGTCATATATGGAAAAAAAGTTGACTGATGCATAATTTGAATTTCACCTAGATCGAAAAATCACATTGATAGTCCCGTCTGATTAAATCAATGCGAATGTATTTAAATCAATCCGAAAAAGCTACGTTTGAGAGAATATAATATTAGTTAACTTCTACTTTATCTCAAAATGTTTAGTTCTTCGAATTACATTTGACTCATATTGAACTGCCATTTGTCGTTTTATATTGTTTCTGCATATCGTGTATGTGAAGTTAACTGCATTTTATAAGCAGCTATAATTAATAAAGATCAGATGGAGACAGGAATAAATTGACATGACGTCACGTGTCAACTCGATCAAGGTAGTTTTATTTCATTTTGCTTACAGTATGGATTTTTCGTCTTCTTGCCAAATATGCTCGAGGCATATTGAAGGAGGCATTGATTCGAAATCTTGCTCCTCGTGTATGCTTGCTGAATCTTCACTTGGCAGCCGGTAAACGTGAGGGGATGATAGCCAGCCGAAGCCACGGCTCTGTGACATGTTGGAAAATAGGTTGTCTGAAGAGAATGAGGCTTCATGCATGATGGCTACGAACAAGATAATCAGATACTTAGATACTTGATGAAAATTACCCCAGTGGTAGAAAGTTTTCATCAAAACAGGCTTCAGTGTACAAACAAATGTCAGAGTGCCAACTATCCTCAAAATCATAGGATCAAATATTTTTTTAAAAAAGAGATCAAAAAAGCTATCAAGAGGTCATCAGCAATGATAAACTTCTTTGCTAATGTAAGCCTTGACATTCAAAAAAAATTCACAAAATCAATCAAGACAAAGAAAGTATTAATTATTAAACAAACAAACATAGCTACCAACACTTCGCTAAATAGATTGGGCAGGCCCACTGAAAAGTTCCATCTTACTAAGCAGGACATCACTCCTTCCACTTTTAATGTGAAAAACAAATCTTGGACAAATAGTCTCATTTATTGACAATAAAAGGAAAAGGCTTGCAAAAATTGGCTTGCCCAAAAAATTTCCTTAGTTAAACCTTGCTACCTGAATAAAGAGAGTTTCTTTCTACCAATCTTAGACTTATTGCTATATGAGCAAATAATCAAGCAAAATTCAAAACTGATCGAGCTATACAGTCGATGTTCTTATTATGCTTTTACGGTCATTTACAACTATCGTCATTACCATCGTCATTCATTATTGTCAATAATATCTTCATCCATTATTGCCAATACTATCGTCATTCATTATTGTCAATAATATCTTCATCCATTATTGCCAATACTATCGTCATCCATTATTGTCAATACCATCGTCATCCATTATTGTCAATACCATCGTCATCCATTATTGTCGATACTATCATCATCCATTATTGTCAATACCATCATCATTCATTATTGTCAAAACCATCGTCAGCCATTATTGTCAATACCATCGTCATCCATTATTGTCAATACCATTGTCATCCATTATTGTCAATACTATCGTCATCCATTATTGACAATACCATTGTCATCCATTATTGTCAATACCATTGTCATCCATTATTGACAATACTATCGTCATTCATTATTGTCAATACTATCGTCATCCATTATTGTCAATACTATTGTCATCCATTATTGTCAATACTATCGTCATCCATTATTGTCAATACTATCGTCATCCATTATTGTCAATACTATCGTCATCCATTATTGTCAATACTATCCTCATCCATTATTGTCAATAACATCGTCATCCATTATTGACAATACTATCGTCATCCATTATAGTAACACCATCGTCATCCATTATTGTCAATTTTATCGTCATACATTATTGTCAATACTATCACTCAAGCAAAATCCATCAAACAAAGATGTCTTGATAAACGCGGCTTCACAAAGACCATTTTACCTGAGTGCGGTGACACAGCCCTTGAAGTCTGGCCATGACCGAATGCTGGAGAATGGATTCTCATCAAATTTGACGGCGTTGCTGCTCTTGCAGGGGTATTGGGTCGACTTCTGATGGGCGAAGGGGTGTGGGAGTGGCGACCATTTGGAGCACAAAGAGACCCTGACAGACGAGATGGTCCTCTAGAGTTCAGGTTTCCAAATTTTGAGCTCTGTCCGAAATCCGATGGGCTGCTATTTCTTGAAACCGGGTCTGGCTTGTCCTGATAAAAATGACATTTCAGTTGTAAAGGAATTTGACAATATTATTTGAGCTAACGGGGGGAGCATTAGGAATACCAGGTACCTTTTTTATTCGGATTGCAAACTTAACAATTTAATAAAGAAATGATTTGGACATTTTCAGAGATTTGTTCAAATTATTAATTGCCCAACCCAGAAGCAAATGAATCAGCATAGCTAGAGATGCAAGTTCAAAGCGTCACACGTAAATATTGTACATAACTTCCGGCAAAGGATGCATCAAAGAGCCGACAAAAAAATAAAAAATGACATTGCAGGAATCTAATAGGGTCTTTTGAGAGCATGTAACTCCAAAAAACAAGGTTACAACAGCCTTCATCAGCTTGGAAGATCGAGGACTGCTAAAGAGCCAAAAAACAACAAATAATTGAAAGACTAATTCAACAAAAAAGGTACCTGGGCTGTTGCTTCTCTGACCTTCCAGACAGCATGGATTCCAACTGAGACATCATATGTAACCAGCAGCGAAATTTTAACAGAGGAAAAGACAATTTGCTGGTCTGGGTCAGAAAAGTACATGCTCTTTTTGCTTTCTAAAAAAGTGAAAATATTATTAAAGAATGATAGTTCACTGCACTGAAGAGATTTTAATGTCTTTCAAGTCAGAATGTCAGATTCCTATTTTCGCAACACCTCGCCTTGCCATGGCAAGCCATTGGATACCCGTTAACGAGATTTATGGGTTATTTCCTGGATGATAAAGATAAGTATTCATCCTGCTTCTTAGGCTGGTAATTGAAAAGACTAAGATTATGCAAATTAAGTGAAAAGAAAAAAACAAACTGATTAAATTATCAAGTTTAAACAAAAGTTAGGATCCAAAACAATTACCCATGTTCATGAGTGCAAATGTAATTACGATGTTAGCCATCGGTCTCCATTCACTCAAGATGATTACATATAGTAAGTCTCGTCAAGCTCAATGTCACGTGCAATTATTGAGAATACAATAAAGGATATGTCATTCAGACCTGGATATCTATATATAACTGGGCAAAAGTCATCCAATGTGTGGATTAAAGAGAACAGCGTAGGTACACCTCTACGGAAAGAATTGTAAAGAGTTATCATAAGAAAAACTAGCGAAGTAATTGAATATTAAGGAGAAAATAAATATGTTGTTATTTATATAGCTTTGGAACTCTCAAAGCCGAAGAGAATTGAAGACAAAGTTTTGTCATGAGCTGAAGTGTTGAAATATGCATTGGTAAGAAATCATGTTAGAAAATGGTAAAGCTTGGACTGGGAGATATGATCTTAGTTCATACAGGCTAAGTTATTGGAGCAATATCAGACGGTAGGTGGGCTAATTGGAAGATTATATACAACAGACATTAAAGGGGTATAAATAAACAAAAGCATATATGTATCAAAAAATGAGTGAAAATATAGATGTGCACTGGAAAATATAAAACATAATTGTTCGTTTTAGGGCATTTGTCTTGAATATTCTGGATAAAAAGAAACATCTCAGTTCCACTTTCAGTAATTGGCTAAAGCTCAAACTTTAGCCTAAACATAAAAAATGTTGACTTTAACTTTACTTTTTGTAAGTATCTGTGTATGAAGTTGGTCTCTGGACACAAAATCCGCTTGGAATTGGCCATATTGTCTCTACTTTGAAAGGTAAAGGTGATGCATAGAAAGATCCATCAGAGCAGATCATGTCAACACAGGTTGGTCCCAAAACAGTGATACATTTGACAAGATCATCTGAAAGGCAAGCAAAAATTTCAAGATAACTTTCTCTTGGCATATTTTATAGTCCAAAGGAATGGTTTCTTGGGTGCTTAAACTAACTGTTAGATTCACAAAAAAATTCTTTCTAATGCATTATTGTGTAATGTCTAAATATTACAGTATTATTATGAAATGCAAGTCACATAAGAGACACTTTTCATATAACATCTAAATTGATTAAATATCTCTTCAGTTGATAAATTTCAAAGAAAAACATGTTATTTAAGTATATTAAAAGTTGAATAGCCTGATTTATCATTCGGAATAAAAATAACTGAACAATGGGCTACAAATACGTAAGAAAAAAACAATTTAAATATGCTTTGGTATGTAGAAAAGAACAGTTTTAAGTGGGAACTCAGATTTTCATGCTTAATGTTATCATAAGGCAAATGTTAAACAACTGCTTATAACTTAGTTTCAAACAAACTAAATGCATTATTAAAGTAAATCATAAATAATTAAACGTGTAAGCTTGCTCTTGGCTATAGACATACATATTTTGTTTGAGATTTTATTTCATCTGAATAAAATAGTTTCTAAGCTGAAACAATTTTGTTTGCTTCAGTTTGTAGAAATTTTGCTTCATAAGAAACTGCCATTTTGTTTTCTGAAGCCTTTAGTGATTCTTGAATATTAAAGTCTTGTGCAAATACTATGTATAAGGTTTCTGTTTGTTAACCATCCCTAACAGCTTTAAAATACAGTAAATTGTAGTCTTTTTGTAAGAGAATCACCAAGTATTAAAGAATCACAAAAATATAAATAAGGGAAAAAAATTAGCTCACCTGTGTCAGATTTGCCCAGACTGTCTGCTGAACTTCTCAATCTTGACAAGTTGTGAAACTGGCAAGATGTTATCTGTTTGATTGCATTATCCAAGTTGAAGCATTTTTTCGCTATACCTTTTTCATCTGTAATTGCAGTTCTACATTGAATGACAACTTTTCCATTTGCATATACCTGTTTGAGGAATAAAAATAGATATTAGGCAAAACATTTCCTGCTCTGATAATATATTGAATTTCAATTCCATGCAGTTTATTTTTTCAAATAATGCAACCTAAATACCACTAAGCTTCAAATTTTATACAGCCCAATATTACTTGCATTGAAAATATTCAATACATCAGAAATGTATTTTTAGTGTTATTTTTGGTAGAACATAGTTGGTTCAATAATGATGACAGTAGAACAAACTTGTCAAATAAATCTAATTCAATCACATATTCTTTCAATATTATGATTATAATTAAAACAGAGATTAAAGATATCAGCTTGACCCCATCTGCACAGTATAGTGGCTCTTAACAAGATCTTGTGAATTCACAATAACTTCAGGAAGATGGACAGCACAAATTTTTTGTGCAGCACTACACTGACCTTATCATTATAAACATAAAATTAAAAATATTAGTATGCAGCTCTACTGGAGTTACAAACCTCTTCTTCATAGCTATCAAAGTTGTCTTTATCTTTGATAAACCATTGTTCAGTCTAAATAAATGACAGACATATAAATTATGTATTAAATATTTGTGACAAATTGTGACAAACAAAGCAGATATATACCAACAAATACTTTTTTTTTAAAAACCTGGCCTGCCAAAACTTTTCTGGGACTGGGGTAAAAGAAAGATGGGGCATGTGATGCATCTGTAATTGTTGTGGTTTTTATCTTTTCAGCAGACCAGGTTATAACTCAAGTGTTTTATGAACAGACAAGGTGGAAGAGATGAGGACTGATGGGAGTCACAGCACCTCTTGAATTGACAAACTTTTTAAAAATACCCAACCATCCAGTAGAAGTTTTGGAAACAACATAAACCATAATGCTAATCTTCTCTTATGTAATATTCTTCTGTTGTATGCTATCAACACCTTTCACCTAGGTGTTAAAAATGCATTAACTAATAGAAATGGTTCTTAAATTAGACAGTTTTTTTACTGAAGCCAATAACCATAGGAAGTTAGTCTTGAGTGAGAGGATTAAATGAAACATCACAACATGAATGAAATTTGCTTCAAACCAATTTTTTTCCACAAAAGGAGCATTTTCTGTTAAGAAAATATAATGATAGAAAACTACAAAGGGACAAGAAATTCATGCATAGAAACTCTGATTGCCTTTTTTACAAACTGAACTAACATACTTGAGGCACTTGAGGTCCCTTGGAAATTAAAAAATACTCTTGTTCAACTCTACATGACCTGTATTTTTAAGGAGATAATATTCAAAATAAAATAATCTATAATATCTATTATTCCTCAAGTACAGCTCTAACAGAGCCCCACATTAAACCTGTTTACTTATCTTACTATGCTGAGCAAAGTTTCCACACAATATCTAATCATGTTCAATTTTAGGGACCATTCTAATTGTTCAAAATAGAAATTCATTTGTTATTGTTGCTACCTAGCCTTTGGAGTTAGTTTTAAGACACTGAGAAGCTATGCTTATCAACAAGTGTCCCGGTCCTTCCTCTCAATGTGACCACACCCCATGATTCTACATCTTGAATCAAAGAGTGTTGGTGACTCTGCTCACTCAAAGTGAAAGTTTGGTCATTTCAAGTGACTTGAACCACAGACTGTTGGATCTGTAGACTATAGTCCCAAACATCGGACTATTCTCACACTTACAAATTATACGAATCTTTTAGGTTAATGAATGAAATAATTTCTGACATACATTGAGGTTTTCTTGGGTCCCTGATGGGTGTATCTTCAAATAATCTCTTCCAAATGGGACAAACTCTTCAATCTCTGCTGTTATCATGATGTCTTAGAACTGATCTGCACTGAAAAAAAACATAATATTAAAATGGCAGAAATGAAGATTGAAACAACAGGTTGAAAAAAGATTATATACTTACTCTTCATACAGAAAAATAGGGAAATTCAAATGGAAATGCAAAACATTCCCAAGATAATATAAGACTTTCATTTCACAAGTTTCGTTATTATTTATCTTGTTCTTTGTTTGGTATTTGTATGTTGTATTAACTTTAGGTGCATTATTGTTATTATTGTAGTTTAGTAATTTGTTTGTATTAATTAGTTTTGTTATGATAAATTGCATGTGGAGAATTTAAAATATGAAACTGAACTGAACTAAGCTTAGCGAATGGTTCAAGCTCAAGTTGGATAGGCGTACTGTTGAACGAGCAAGCCTTGTCCATCCTGGCATAGGGAAGAGGTGCATTTCTTCAAATCGCGTCTCGATCTCAAAATAATTTCATTTCAAATATATTCCCAGCATTCCAATTATGCACATAGCAACAGAAGATGCAAGAATCTTAATTGAGTACAATTACAATAAGGTTACAGAAAAATACGCATTAAAAATTTAAGATGAATTTTGCTGAATAAGGACATGTAGAGATAATTCCGAAAAACTTTTGAGCTGCGATAAAACATGGTTGCTACAATTAAAATTAAAAGATATATATCGAAGAAGCATATATGTATTAATAAACGTAGTAACATTACTTTTATAAATCATAATGAATAAGAAAAAAATAAAAACAAGAAAGAATAGATATATTTATTCACATTCGAGTTTTGATGACACCTTAAAAAAAGATTCGTTCAAAAGAAAAATTAACCATACGACTTAAATATAAAATGACAAAATTTACCAAAAGAACAGCTGCCGATACAGTATTATAAATTCTTCAAAATTTCACTTTGCGGAACTTTTTCGATTGCGGCCATATTTGAGTGAAGCCCGCGAAAGAATAAACCTCTCTTTGACTAGAAAGTTGTTCAGAAAGAGGCAATATGTAATTTTCATTGTCCGAACCGCCCCATTGTTATTTGGTCTGGTTTCTGGCTGGATGTTATCTGATTAGTGGGTTATGTTGTGAATGCATTGGGGTGCCTCCACGTATGACCCGACGAGGTACGATGTTAACCGAACCTTTTTACCCTGAGAATCTATTGAAAGAAAGCTTAATACACAGGTGAATCTGTTTATGCAACAAGGTTTCTTAACTATCAAAGCTTGAAGACTTCAAACTATATAGATAACAGAACAGTTGCCTTATGGTCGAATTAAACGTGGAATGACAACCTAGAACCGTCCTAACTCGGAATAAGAACTTAGAACCGACCTGCTTTATAAACCAAATGGCGCGATCTTTAATTATCTGGACTTATATGCTAGTTGACAGTTGTTACTGAAATTCGACTGCAAGCACTGTTGACGCAACGTAACGTTTTCTATCACAGGTCATATTTTCAAGATTCTAAGCGGGGGCTTATTAAAAAGTTGGTTTACCTTCTGTAGCATAAACATAAGATTGGATTTAGTTCCTAAATGGTCAGCATCAGAGTGAATGTGAGTTGTAGAAGGTTTTAAAAACAAATTGCTTTTTAAAAATTCGGATAAAAGACTATAATGAAATGAGTTCTTTATCATCAGTAAATCAAGAGAGTTCTTTATTCTCCTTTAATCGGGATTGAAACCACGAAGAAGAATTTTTTTACCTCTTATCCAACAGGAGTTGGTCCTGATTATTTACACTTTTCATACAATCTAAATAACACTTGTCACCCAGAGTTTCGCTAGTGATTGTAGAATAGGGAGTTTATATAAAACTCTGCAGTGAGAGCACTATAACCTACTGACAAAGTGGAAAACCATACTATCTTATCTACAACGCACAATCCATACCTATAATGTGGATATTACTGGAAACAAGATAGTTTTCGTAAGAAGAGTTTTGATTCGGGTGGCTATACTGTGTTGGGTAACAATTGCGATTTATTCTCAGCAAGTTGACATGAAGCTTTGCACTTTTGTCTTCTACATGAAAGATCGGAAAAAACACGGTAAGCCTAGGCTATGCCGTAATTCTCACAGCTCTATAAAAAAGAGCATGACAAAAAGAAATTCGACTGGCTGAAATTTAACACAAAGGGCATGATTCTACAGACTTCACTAAAAAGTAATTTAAAAAAAAATAACACAAAACTAGTTAAGTCTTTGTACAATAAAGGCCATGAAAATTATCGCCTTTGAATAACTAAATATCACTAAGAAAATAATACTTGAAAACACAACACTGATAATGTTAAACAATTCAACAATTTAAGTCTTATATAATTCCTTTAGTTAGACATAATAAAACAGCCAATGGATTATACTAGGCAACATTAGAAGCACAAGAGCCTAGTATTAATGTTAGGGCGTTATTGAAGTGATTTTCCAACAACAAAGAAGTGAATTTAAATATTTTGATATCCATAGTTTACTAAAACAGCATTAATTCTACAAAAGGAAAACATATTCTTTAGAGACTATGCTTAAAAACGAACTTAAAATAATCACCCTTAAGATACCTATAACTGTGTGCAACCTTCGTTGGAGATCTTATATTTCAAAACGATCCTTTTTCACAAAAGATTGTAAGATAAGAAACACAGTATCGGTGCACATTTATATCGTGTCAAAAAGTCGTTAAACCATAAAATAAAAAGCGTTGTTTGGTTAGGCCACTGGGGCAGCACCTGAATGATATACGAGCTACTTTGATAATTTTTTGCAAAGATTGTATATACACAAAAAAATTCTCTATATAGAAAACAAAACGAATATAAACAAACGTAGGGTTGAATTATAAAAGTGAACAAACTATTTTATAGATAGGGAAAAATGTATCAAATCTTAATAAACGGCTACACTGCATGTTATCGAAGCGCGGAGCTGCTGGACAACCGGCTCTGAGAGTTTGAGTGCAGGATTTGCTCTTCCTGGAGGTGATAGCGAGTTTCAAGGTGAAGATCGAGTGCACGTGGGTGCCTGCATTCGACGTTACATAATGGACATACAACTGGTTCTTGGAAAGGGTCGGTTGACCTGAAAATCAGATAGAAAAGCATTTACATTCCAGTATCACTGAGCTTGACATTAAACAATTTGCATTGTGTTCAATGTCAAGTAGCCTAATGAATATTCTATTGAAAATTTCACGGGGAAATCCTACAGAAAGTTAAACGTCATTTGTTAATTTATCAATCAGGAAATACCGCCAAACTTTAAGCTGGGCATGCGTATAATTGACATATAATTTAGGCCTGTTCGATAGACTGACTATATGAACTAAACATGCCACAGAACAAACTTAGTTCATACAACATTTTCGACTTAAATCAAACATTCACTGAACAATGTCCAGTGGCTGAAAAAGACGAGTGAATGAACCGAGCATTTGACTGAATTTTATTGTTGAAGAATGTTTTAACAACCCAAGTCGATAGAATATTACGTTGTGAACTTGGTAGTTCTCATTACCTTCCAGCCATTCCATACAAATTCCTCACTTGTCTTTCTTTAATTGTATATGCTGACTCTTTGTTTTCATCAGGATCGTCCAGCAAAACACCGTAATGCAAGGCGTACAACGGGACGGTTGAACCATCTTCATCTGCCGGTTTCAAACGGACCAATTCCGGAATCTGAAAAAAGTTGCCCGTTTAAAATCATCCATGCTCTGCTATCAGCAAAGCTTGGCTAAATCCGTTAAGCAAATAACAATTTTAATAAAATGAAGACTTTTGTATTTATTTAAGTTCTATTATGGATACACGAAATAATTGACAATCATTGGTCTCGCTAATGGGAGCCTCCGTCTCGCTAATGCCTCACTTTACGAGTGCTACATTCGATTAAAGAGACAAGTGCGGTATGCTTTATAAACCATGGATGACATCTTGAATGCGATTGGAAAGGTGGGGGATGCTATTACACTCCATCATCCATGTTGGACCACAACTAGGGTGTGATGCATGGATTGTGCGGCATTATGCTATACAGCAAGTGTACTTCTCTAGTGTTTCGTTTCTAGCTTGGTGCAACCCATTACCATAATGAGACTACGAATTGGGCCTTCAAACCTGTTGTGAATAAGCCGCAGCCAGTAAACGGACAGTATATGTGTTTCGAGAACATCATAAAGGGGGTAGTGATAAAAGGCAATAGGAATTACATCAATTTTCAGCTTAATCAAACGTACCTGATTCCAAACATACGGCCTAGAGTAGTCGGTTTGCTTGGTTTCGTTTCTTTTATGGTGCAGAAGCCTAGAATCGAAAGAAAAAACAATAGAAAATGTAAATGCAATCAAATTATGAGGCGGTAATAAAGAGATTCAAAAGAAGATGAGTAGTAACCATTAATAATGCAGTTATGCGTCGATGCAACGTAATATTAATGTAACACGCAAAATTTACCCAAAGCGCAGTACAAAAGAATGCGACTGCAGTTTCTCATATAGGAGGGATTCAAGCTGTAAGGTTGAAGATGGGGGGGGGGGGGGGGGGGAGCGGTGAATATGTTGGCTAGGAGTAATAACCAATCTGAGGTAGGATCGTAAAAGACAAAAACAAGTGTTAAAAGTGTTTTTTCATGGACTGGTGTAACAATAGCCCCTTCCCTTAATATTAGGTGAATTGTTACAAAAAAATAAACACTAAAGCCCATGAAACAATAAACCCATTGTCTCTACACACGAAAAAATGCCCAAACTGGCAAAGAAACATAACGACAGGCCTCAAAATCTGGATACTTAAACAACCTGTTGCAAGATTTTTGATAGAAAAACAAGCTACGTTTTAAGTATTTATAAATATGTACCTAAAAGGTTTATATGCACGTATATAAGTAAATATATAGTGATATATAAATGTATGCCCGATTTTCATCTAACTGCTGTCTAAACTTAACACTTCAGATAGAGGCACTATTAAAAATCATTAGAATTTCAACTATTCGTATTCAATACCAAATTGTATTTTCTAAAAACGCAGTTTCTACGAAAAAGGAAAAACTTTTCAGATCTAGATTGTTTGATAAGAATTTTGCACTTCTGCATTCTTGCACAAGGATCTACGTATTCCTTGTATATATAAGCAGTTGCAGAAACATTTTGCCAATATTAGAATATTAGTTGAATGTTTATCAAAATAAGAAAGCCTGCTTAAGGATCTGACTTCATTACATACTCTAAGATCCTTTTCCTCGAAAATCTTTGAATCCTTTCAAGTGCGCTTGTTCCCCATTGGTCTGCATCTTTAAAGGCGTAATTTATTCCCTTTCGGACGGAATTTACCTAAGAGGTAAAATAAAGATGCGTGTCTATTCTCAAAAGAAGCAAACAAACGAGAAGTGATTTCAGAGCATATTTCCACCGACAAAAATAAGTTATTCCTTTTTAGCCAGAAGAAAGAAATTGTTTCAAAGGACGCGAGTATAAGAAAGCAGGCAGTCGCCGAAAAATTAAAGTGGAAAGAGAGGCATTGATTGACGGATTACTGTTTAAGTGGTTTCCAAATATGAAGGGAACCATAAAAATAGATCCTGATGTGGCTTAAGCCACCTGTCAATCAACATTTGACCAATCAATAAGCGTCTGGGGGGTATCTAGCTTATTACTTGGCACATTGTTGACTGAGAGATGGCTTAGGCCACTCTAGCATCGTCATAATAATTTAATCATAGCAACTGGTCCTGCAAAATCGGAGGAACTAGCTGTTTTCTTTGTGGGAGAAGGGGGTTCAATAAGGTAGGATTCTGCTTCAAAAACAGGTATCTTAGATCAGATGGTGAGAGGGAAATTTCAGAGATGAATAAAAACAAACAATACAGACAAAAAAGTGACATTGTTTTTAGCAGGCAAATGAAGACTAAAAGAAGAAAAAACATGTACAAACCATCTGTACGTCATTAAGAGTGAACTCTACATCAAAGGTAACCTCCATGTCATGCTCAGGGAGGATTGGTATGTTGGATGATTCCATGTAACCGAGGCCACAAATGGCCCCAATAATCCTCTTTTTGTCTTTACTTAACCTGAAAAATACATCGTAGCATAGGTAAGAATATACCATTAATAAGAAACTATTTTATGTATAGAAAATTAGAAAATAAGAATTTTCCTAAATGATGTGAAACTGAACTCTAGTGAAGTGAAATCTCTTTGGCGCAATCTCGACTTTGGTAGGAAGCAACAGGGTGGGCATGGCTTCTTTGTGTTTTATGTTCCTAGCTTCTCTAGTGTGAGAGCGTTTTGTCATATAGAAAGGTATCACTTATATATCTTTCACAAAAAAACCTAATGTGAAAGTAGGCTTTTTTTGTGAATGTATGGTACATTATATCAAGTGGTACATCATTGCCGTCATATCATACATTGCAAATTTACGCTGATTGGTGCAGAGATTTTAAAGACCAAGAGAATCCAACGTACCTATACTCAGCAAATGGTGCAAACAGTACAGGTACAATGGAAGCTATGCCGTGAATGTTTGGCATGACAGTTGTCTCCCTGTGCGAAAAATAAAGAAATGTACGTCACGAGAACTATCGATTGGGGGTGGGGGAGGCAAGATAAAAATAACTTTATAATAAACAAATTTAGAATAGATTGATGTTATCAGGACAAAACGTTGTAAATTTTAGCTGGCAACACAAGTCAATAGCACAGAAAGGAAGATTGCAAACACTAGGGATACTGCATAACAAACCTGGCTATCAATGTATTTCCAGTAGCATTTACACCAATGACCGCCGAGACCATAAACCTTGGATGTTTATCTTGAGGCTCTTCACAGATGAAAACACTGTTTACTGAGTCTTTCTCGATATTCGTGGCCCTGTGAAATTAAAAAATGGGATTTTGAAACACAGGGGTTTTTAAGTGAATCAGACTAGCAAAAAAGATGAAATGTCGTCGGAAAAAGAGCTTGGATTATTTTGCTAACGAGAATCGGGAAAATTAAGGATACACTGTTCAGTTAGCCAAATAATAGATAAATTATAATTTTTAAAGTTTTGGACAATATACTTAATAGCAAATAGGAATAGTACACTGCATATCCCTACATCAAAAAAGCTTACATCATATGATCTAATTTTAAATACAATTCAAATCAGTCATTTATTTCGTAAGGCAGAAAATGTTCACAAACCTAAATCTTCCATTGTTTGTCAAGCTATAAAAGCTCATCTCAAATGGATTAAAGGGTCCACGCAGTTTCACCTAAAACAACAAAATGTCAACGAGTTAATAAAAAAAACGTAATTCCCAAGATCAAAATTATGGAAACTTGTGAGTATTTAAATATGGTGACTGCAAACCAAAAAGCCTATCACTGAAAAACAAAAAATATCAAAATAATATTAATTTCTTATAATATTCATGGTTATACAAATTATCCAATAATCGTCTGTATATACACTCAAATAATTATAGCTGTGGACACAAACAACGTGTTTATTTATTACTCAATAAAAGACTTTGAATTAAGTTTTCTTTGTCTAAAAATTTAAAAAAGCCCAATTTCGAAGCATAGCTACACATGTAAAGATCATTAATATCGTCTTAGCTTTTGACGCTGATGGATCGCAAATTGTTATAAAAAATGAACTTCTAGTATTACACGCCAAGCAGCGTAGATCATGCAGCTACTAACCTTGGTTGCATCGTAATCTAATACTTCATGGGCTTCTGGCTTTTTATCAAGTTTACTTAAAAGGCTATTGCTTTCTTTGATTGCCCTCTCCATCCTCACAGAATTGTCCTTGGTCAACTGAAACAGAATCAAATGAAAATAGCCTAATATGTTTGTAGCAAAATATCTGGGTGCTGAAATGCACTTGAATTATAGAGATCAAGAAACAGTCGAAGTGAACGAGTCTAAAAGCAGCAATGACACATGATTAGAAAAAAAGTTCAGGTTTTTGTGACGTCAGTACAGTCCCGAGTTTGTTTTGTGGGGATTCCCGTTGGCTCTGTAAATGTACTGCCATCAAATGTGCTCGCACCACCCCAGTGTTCTCTTTTCATATGTTATACGCATTATGTTCGCTATAGGTTGAAAGCAGGTATATTCTAGTTCTATTTGTATATAATCTCGTTTTGTATATAGATAAAAAGATAAAATCAAACTGGAGTCTCTGTCATATTATCACTCTACGGACACTACGTTCACAAAAATGTAGAAAAGGTTAAATACCTTTGAGGAATAAGACTCTTCGCACTTTCGTGCAAATCCCTCGTCTACCAAAATTTGGTTGACATGGTTACTGTTACCGGAAACATGCTCGTCAGGAAGATAAAGATCCAAACGAACGCTGTTGTCAACCACGGAGTAAACCTGAAACAGGCAAAAACGAAAAAAAATTACTAGCTTCTTCAAATATTCCAAATAAAAAAATTTCTTAACACCAGAAAAAAAATACAAACAATTCAGTTAAGTGCTATATATAGAATACATCTCCAAGAAGCCTGTAAGAATCGCAATTTACGAACTTGCAAACAATAAACCCATAATTTTGCATGTAAGCTTTTCAAGCAATAAGCTCATACAAATAAAAACAGAGAGAGGGTTAAACTAGAATCCAGTTGAATCCTGTTGAATGCAGTTTAATCCAGTGGAATCCAGTGGAATCCAATGGGATCAAGTGGAATCCAGCTCACCTTAGCTATCATCTTTTTGTCCTGCGTAAGTTCTCGAAACCTAATGTTAGCCTCATCAGTCCAATCGCCGTAGACAGGGTGGATTTCACATAAATAGCATTCGAAGGCCTAAAATTTTAAAAATGGAATTTCAAATGACATAAAAGTCAAACTTGCAGCAAAACTATGGCAACATCTTTGATAAAGGTTGGCGGAAAATTCAGAACCAAAGAGATGAAAAATATTGGTAAATTATGCCACTGGAACAAACAGTCGAGGTCGTATACTAGTTAACTGCAAACATATCGCAATATTGTTGCTTGCAATACACCAATTTATAGAGCCACGCATTTCTATCTTGCGCGGGGTTTAGCACTAGTTAGGGTAAAAGATTTGAGTGAGCTTTCGTTCACTAAAAACATGGCGAAATGGATGACAGCCACTGACATCGAAGCTACAGCAGATACAAACTTAGACATGACTTTTAAAAGACAAATTTACAGTTCCACCTCCGTTAATCAATTAAAATGAGGCAACACATCAGTCATGACAAATTACTTGTAGTTATAAACGAAATAAAGATTACCTGATAGGGCAACTGACGAAAACGTTCGGGGCAGTGACGCAGCTGGTCACGTGGCAAGACGTCAACATTGCCGTAGTCGAGGAAGAAAATCTAAACGAAAAAAAGGCCATAGACAATAAAAACTGGATAAGCAGACTGTGAAGTTCAGAATATAATCAACCACTAACAACTAAATAAATCAGTATAAGTCATCCAACAAATAGATTGAATAAGAAATAAACTGTAGTTATACATTTATTACAAAAAAATCTAACTTTATTATTGGCCATAGGGCAATATCGATATAGAAAAACGAAGTGAGAAAACGGAAGCAAAACCATAACAATATTTGGCTTTGAAAAAGCAAACATTTAGTAAATTGGAGCTTTTCGTCTGACACTCTTCAGAGTTTAAAATATCAGAACATAGATCGAGAACTTTACGCTAGGAAATATATATACCCAGTTGTGGATCGAAATAGGCCAATCAGATAACAATATTTGCAATGGCAAACAAAGGGGAACCCACTCACTTTTACCATACAATCTTTGTTTGACACTCGTCCTTCAGCTATGACTTCTGCTCTGTAGTACTCTTCCTCAAACCAGGCTAAAACTATCTCGCCAGCTCTCAATTTCACACCATTTGCAATCCTCTATAAACAAAGATGCTGTGGCTTATAGCTTGAAGAGCAAAGATGTTGTGATAATAATATTTCAGCAATGTTATGGTAATAATATTTTCCTCTCATTCAAGAACCTTTTTCGCCTTTATAGTTTTCAAGTACATACCATCTTGTACTAACAACGCGAGGAGCCAAAGCTTATTTCCTGTTGATAGGTTCTCTATAAACATATTCAAACTGTATTTGGAAAATCATTATTTGCAATAACGACTAGGGTAAGAAAGGGTCCTTGCCAAACAACGTACTATGACAAGGATAAAGACACTTCAGCGCTACTTGGGAAAATAATGTTCTGAAAAACATTCAAAAAAGGTGAGCACTGGAAGGCAATTCAGTTAAATCTATGCCAATCAAAGTGAGAAACAAACAACAGATAAAATGTGTTCCTGTAATTAGCTTTGAGCCTGCACATAGTACCATTCTTGGGTAAACAGGGCATGTATTTCAAATTTCTACGAGTTAGCTCATCTACAAGAATTTCTGCCTGGAAAAATTATTTTGCCTGCTGGTGATATTTTGAACTTGTTGCGGCATCAAGGTAGCCTCATGCAACATTGGTGGCGTTTTAAAATCCATGTGTATTTAGATCGCAGGCCACTTTGCTTAGTGTCTCCATGATTTTAATATAGCCTCTTTGCAAACAACATGAACTCGTTCCCAGAAACCGGAAAACAAGAACAACCAGTATTAAGTGCCCAACATAAATATATGATCAAAAGCAAATTTAATTACTTACATTTAAGTTGCTCCCTCCCATAGCATTGATGTCATGTTGAATTTCAGCAAGCTTTTGGAATGTTTCTTGGTTGCCATAATGGGCCCAGAAATGCCCGGCTTCTAGGGCCTTAATCAAGGAATGGCAAGTGTTTAACATCAGGGCAGCAATGAGAAAAAAAGAGAGAGTAAAATAGCTTGAAATAAGGTATAATTTTTTATTCTTTCACTAGAAAAACGATGGAATATGAAAACAAAGCTAGAGTGGATAGAAAATTTGCTTGGTGATCACACTATGTTAACTGTTACTTTCTTAAATTTCTACTCACCACTGTGACAAACAATTCGGTGTAGCCCATCGCTGGAAGGGAAACCTGGAAAAATTCGATACTAACTTAAATACAATCAGGTTTATGAAAACAATTGTAACAATAAAAAAAAGAATTACCAAGATTGCATTAATGATCAATGCTAACAACGAACAAGATTTTCAAAATACCTTGTTAAAGGTTTTTCGATCAGTTTGCGCATCGTTCCCTTCCATGGATGTTGTTAGGCTGACAAAAGAGATAAAAAACATATTTAAAGGGAATTATAGAAAATAGTGGCGTGTACAGTCTCGAGATCTGTCAATAAAATCTATATCTAAACTGACTCATAAAACCCTTGCATGCGAAAGCTTGTTTACCCTTTATATCAACATCTAGGGTGTTCTTTCTGCTTTTGGTCCATTCCTAATACCTTGGGATACCGGCATTCTTTAGCAACCTTAAAATGTTAGAATGCTAAACATCTTGTCCGCACCTTTCAATAGCTTTGCCTCTAAGTTTGAAATCTCCAAGCCACCTTTTGGGTTTCAAGTAAGCGAGCGGAATTGATCTAAGATTTGAGACAGATCTGAGAGTATTTGAGACATAACAACACTTTGCATAATACATCTCTACTTATGAAACAAATAAAGAACAGTGGGAGCTACCTGCCGAGACGCAGTGATTTGCTTTCTGTATTAGACATCTGAAGCGACTCCAGTTTCCTCCGAAGATCTTCATGGTTGTCTTTTCGAATAAAAATGGTCAGATCCATTCTCAATTGCCTTGAAAGAACGAAACCTTAATTGATTATCAATTACATCAACATTTAAATAATCTACAATGTGCCTGTTCATTTTAACTGCTAGGAACAAATCAAGGGAATAATTTGGCACAGAAGCTCTGTTCCCCGTCCTACCCTGACAGAAAGCAACTCTCCAAACGTCCGTCGATGAATTCGTAGAAATTAAAGTTAAAACTGGATAAAAAGTATTGGTTAAATCTCATTAAAAGACAAGGAAAAGCAGGGCCTATTTCAGCTAGCTCTTGATAAGCTATAAATTTACAATTGCAATCAGATACATCTTTTCTACAAATTTATAGGCTAAACTAACTTCTATAATTTGACAAGTATCCGTAGAAATAACTAAAGACAAGCATTCGAACTAATGCATATATGTTCTTACTAAAACTTTACATACCTCATTTTAATGGCAAGGTAAACAGCAGGTAATACAGGGTTCTGAGCCGAGTTCCTTTGCATTTGCGATCTGGCAAACTCGACGTAGCACCTTCAAATTAATTCAATCAGTTAATCAAAGAAAAACGAATCGCAAAATTTCTGGCGACTAATTTTCTTCTACAAATTCTATATCTTAATGGCAGATGAAGATACATTGAAACTGATTAGCCAAAAACCGCCCATAATCGGAATTAAAAGTGCTCAAAACATAAGGTAGCTGATTGACAGCTATTCAAATGCTCATTGGTCTATTCTACGTGTGTTACACTTAATGATCTTTCCGTTTATCACATAGATGAAATCTATATCAAAGGTCTCTGACCACGTGATCATATGCTTCGTTTCGAGTAGACAGAACATAACTTTCAATTTTAAGTGTTCCTTGGATTTTAAACAGTGTTACATATCTCTTGTGTTTAAAGATGGTGTTGAAAGATAACGAACCATCTCTATACTCTCGAAATCTCAAGTTTATAACATTTGAAGACCAAAATTTACAATTTTCGCTCTTCAAGTAAGCTCGTTAAGTTATCTTGTAAATCATTAGTTTGCAATCACTGTGTTTCTTTCGAAATTATTAGAAAAAATATTCAGGTCCTCTGTTTTGCACATTTCCTCGCCTACAAAAAGTATCTATGTAGTTTTAATTGTCTTGAAGCGAACGCGACAGAAAACCAACCTTGAGTTCTCAAAATGCAGGAATTTCCCTTTGCCACAAGGCCTCATGAGTGCAGCAATCTTCTCTTTATAAAGAATTCCAGGCGATGGGACATTATTGAGCTGAGGAAATAAAGAGCAGTTTTTAAAGATCTGTGAAAATGGTGAAACTTGTTTAATGAAATAAAAGAAGTCGAGAAAATCTACTTTAAAATAACCTTCAGAATCTCCTTAATGCCATAATCGTTATCCACAACCGCTAATAATTAATATATAAGTCACAAACAATAATGGATGTTGAAGTACAGAATACCTGGAGACTCTTTTGAAGGTCAAATTAAGTACATTCAAAGACAACGTTATTGCTGTATTTAAAGTGCAAATATTTATTATATATAATAAACAATAATTATAATTAAAATACATAATATCCACAAAGGATACTTTTTTATCAAGGGCGCTACTGCTATTAGCAAGGATCCTTTTAAAACATAAGTTTGTAATGTGAAAAGATAAAACTTACAAGAGGCAATTATAAAAACTGTAAAAACCTTAATAATGAAAGTGTCTATGAAACCAAAATTAAATTTTTTGAAGCATATAAAACAATTACCACAACCGTATGTGGTGCAGGATCAGTTTGGGATTAAAAGAAAACAAAATTGTTAAATCTTTGTGAACTTTACATTTGGGAAGTCTTTTCTACTTGAGAAAGTATTAGATTTTAGCAAATGCTAGTAAAATCAAGGGAGATTAAAGGTGCTTTAGAAAAGCATGCTTCGAAGACATACCATGACAGTGCTGAACGGATCATGTCCTGAAAGAACTTTAATGGACTCAGCATCGTCGACTTCACCAGAGACGAAGTAGAATGGATAAAAAGCTCCACAAATAACCATCTGATAAAATATATTTCAGCGTGAAATGGTGGTTAACTTCTTCAAATGTATTACAACAGAAAAACTAAAAAAGCAGTCGATTGGTAAATAAAAATGTTTGGTGTACAAAAACATAAACATATTCAATTAAATTTGCATTTCAAAGATTTAATGTTTCTGCAATGACAACTGGAAATAGATAGAATGGCATAAATAGATAGAATGGCATAAAACTATCAAAACAAGCATCAAAATACAGATTGCCTTAACGAGTTTTTTTATGGATGACAACATTGTTTAGAGTTACCAATATATTTGTTAAATAATCTATAAAGCATTAAAAATACCTTTAGAATCAATAAGTCATCTGGCGACATAGAAGCTCTGTGGGCAAAAAAAATGTTTTAAAAGTATATTGCACATTAAATTGTATTTGTTTTCTATCGATAAAAACTCTTGGCAATACAGTAAGTTAGTCTACGGCTTTGATTCAGTCCTGGAACTTTCTAAATTTTCCAGAAAATCAGTAATTTTGAGTTCCTAGCAACCGAAGGACCTTTTTATCAAAGTTTTTCATCAGTTTCTAAAAAGATGATTTTAAGCAACGGAGGAATACAAAGAAATTATCAATGATATAGATTTGCAAGAGAGGTTCCTTAAGACTTGTATGCCGGTGCCGTAGATCGACGAATAAGCAACAGTCACCTTTGATTTCTCTGTCTGTCATGATTTCGCCTGATATTATTCTGCTGCAATCGTCCTTCGAGTTCCTTGACCAGCTGGTCAGCCTGAAAATAAATCGACGTCACCGGAATATCAGGAGGGCCTAACAAGGAAGTATCAGAATAAAGAGAAAAACGTGAGCCTTCTAAGTTGTTTTGTTGTTCTAACGCTCTCTGAAACTTAACCAAACTTTTTGGTTCTGTATTACCCCGCAAAGCTCGTGCTACTATCTTGTTTCCAGACGCCTGTATCTAATCGTGGGTGTACTGAATGGTAGTAGATGAGAGTGAACAAATTTGTTCTCCCTTTCTGGGACTGCAAATGAGACCTTGAATATTCAAATGAAAAATTGATATTCAGACTGTGTTTAAATCGCAGGAAACAAATTTCAAGATGTAAGAACAAAACAAGCAAAAACAATTAATTCTCTAAAACAATGAAAACCAAACCTCGTGCATCATTTTCACTTCCACGAAATTCTTCCTTCCCCAAGCTCCTTCGCCCTACAGAAACTAAAGACTTCAGTCTTACTGTTCAAAATAAATACCTTTTAAGCATTCTCAGGTATATAAAATAAGGTAAAATGCTCTCGGATATCATTTTTGCAACAAACAATGCACTTTTTAGCTTGATATTTCACTTAAAAGGTTTAAGATTTATTTACTTTAATATTTAGCTTTAAATTATTAACATAAACTGCTTGCAGCCATGTTTTGTGAATTCAAGAGAAACTCAGAAATGTAAAATACGTAAACCAAAGCAGATTCATTCCAGTAAGCAACACAAACAAAAATTTACACCATTTTTCTTTACAATGAAGATAAAGAAAAACTGTAGAGCCTTTCTGAGTTTGTTTATTGTGCTAACATACAAAGCCTGCCAAAAGTACTTGGAACACCCAGCAATTTACGCTACATATAATATCTTTCATTCCTTTCATGAAAAAAAATTACTACTTCCGCCCCCTTCCCCCTAAAACAATGTTGATGATTTAGAGAAATATCTATTTTAGGAACCAAAGGAAAGTGCTTCCTAAAATCCTAACCCGTTTGATAGTAAACAAACATTGTTCTGTAGGGGAGAGAGGGATGATTGATTTTGAACTTTAAAACTGACGTCAGTGTTCCAAGACTTTTGGCAGGAATTGTACCTACCCAAATCTGCAACTACTACAAACAAGGGCATTTGAGGAAGGACGAAGCTATTGGTTTACTGTAAACAGAAAATTCATAGGTGAAGAAGACATTCCTATGACAGAAATTTTAATGTGAAAAGAAATTTTATTGCAGTTTGTGTTGTTACAGAGAATAAGGGAAAAATATCGAATACAAACTAGGTTACCTCTCTTCCAAACCCAGAGCTTTCCTTTTTGTATTTCCACTCCTAGAAAAAGAAACGAACCCAAAAATTAATAAGATACTTTCAAGATTTGTGCTCAGACATTCTCTAAAAACAATACAAGGACATTGCCTTAATGTTTACAACCTGACATAGAAAACATGCAGATTTGCTGATGCTCAGAGCATAAAAAGGCCACATATAAAATGCAAATATTCCAAACACGTTTTAGGGCATGAACACTACAAAAAAGGGGTTTTACAGGATACAATGTGAAAGGAAGAGATTTACTTACACGGAAGCAATGCAGCGCAGCGATGCAGTCACTGAAAGACCATCTGGCCCATTCCATTTTGTGGCTGCAAAAGATCAACAAAACGATGAATACTGGAAACTTTTTCGACCACCTGTTCGTGCACTTGACACTACACTGTTAACACTGTTTAGCTATAATGAGATGCTTATTAGATGAATTTTAACCAAAAACATTTTTTGATGAAAATGAGAAACACCGCAACGCACCTAGAACAAACTACCATTACGACCATTAACACAAATAAATCACAGATAGCTTAATATTTTGCTTCGGTAGAGAGCCTTTATCAGAGCAAAAGTTACATTTTCAACATTTTGCTGACTTTTAACCGCAAGTCTAAAAGTCTACCATACTGGCCCTTTTATCATTTACCCAATTAAATTTTTACTGCTTTTGAGCAGTGTAAGAATAAAAAATTTTGAAAGTAGTGAGTAGATCAAGAAAACATATTTTGCAAATGACATATCCACGGCTTGTTTGATCCATGGTTTTTGTTAGGAAGAATAAGACAAATCACCTGTATGCATCTAAGTCTTTCTTGAATGGCCTGGCAAAGCAACTCTTCAGAGACAAAGCTGCAGCTAAACATATAAAGACAAAGTTATAATCTAAACAGAAGCTAAAATGAAACACCGTTCATACATATATTGACGCCTAACGATGTAAACAGAATACCAAAAGGTTTTTGAGAACCCTGGACATAATGTTTACATAAACTAGGCTTCAAACACTTAAACAATCTTCAGACGATATCAACTGCGACATTGTGTTTAAAAGCGGTTGCCCTTTTTGTCGAATCTAGAATCTAGTTTTTCTTTATACAGATAAAACTTAAAAAAACAAAGAGTATAAGAAAAAGGATTAATCTCACGGGACCACACTGATAAAAACTGATTACTCTTTTGGCTTATGCAATGGCGAAAACAAAGGTCACCACCAGCCCCCCCCCCCAAAAATGTAACAGGATATTTCTTATATTGTATAACCTCGGTTTCATTTGTACCTCGTTTAGTTTTATGTCAATCATTAATTAATCTATTGTATGCCGTTAGTATAAATATCATGAGATTTTGTAAATAGGGGCTTTTTGATTTGCACGATAACAAGAATGTAAGCAAAGAACAAGATCTTATTTCTTCGTTTCTCACATGAAATCCTCTCGCATAAGTCTGCGCAATACAGCGTAAGACCTTTACAAAAAAATTCTAAAACAATGGGGAAATGTGAAGTTAATAGGCTTGCCCCCAAATATTTAACCAAGTGCCAGCCCCTGCTTATATGCTTTAGATTTGAAATTCTCTGAGAATTCAATAGTTGGAGAAAGTTCAAGAGCGTTGATTACTTTGGTGAAGCCACTCGAAACAATCAGCCTTCCAAAGGAGAACAACTGCCTTTAAAGTCAACAGGACTGTAGACGAGGAATCAGAAAAATCAGTTATTTCTGGTGATTATAAAAATAGAGAAACTTGAGAATAGAGAATAGAAAAGTATATTCTAGAGTAGAAACTTTGTAATGAATAGATAAACATCATACCAATAATAAGACACTCATCCAGGCAGCCAAATACATGTCCAAGGATAAGCAACTTTCCAACCCTAACATCCACTGGAAGCGAACCAAGAACCTTTCCAACGACAGTCAAGTCTCCATCAAAAGGGTTTATTCTGTCATTTTGCATCAATGTTAAAGCACCAATCTGCAAGATAATGATAAATGAACAAAAAACGTAGAGATGCTGGAACCAAATAGTCAATAAAACACCTCTTATTGTCCCAAACTTTTAAAAAAACAAAACTTTCAAATTCGTCGTACTAGAGGACCGCAAATGAAAGAAAATGCATTTCTACGACAAAAAAATGCAAGCCAGAGACGAAGCTTTCAAGCATTATGCCAAACTATAGATTACACAACCTTTCTATAAGTGTTTGTGCAACAACATTGCGCACGCTTTTGGTAGCTAATTTAATCTAAAATGATATCATATATCGTGAGCAGAAAAATTTCTGTTATTTTCTAGTACCATAGTTTGAGAACAACAACAACAAAAGGGAATGGCAATTGGAAATAAAGGATTTTTAATTTTCAAAGCCTGCAATTCTGGAAAGGTAAAAAATAATTCTTCGTTCTTTCATATACCATTGTAGATCTTGGTGGGTTTAAGTTACAATATTCTATATATAACCATGCCATCAAATAGCCACTCTCAAGGTAGACCAAAGCAGTGAGACTGAATGTAACTACCAAAGAGATAGAGAGGCCATAGAAGCTAAAAAGCAGTTACTTACTTCTTTTAACAATAAAATGGTCTTCCTGATGTCATTTATTTCTGGGGGCTGCAGTGCTAACTTCAGAAGGGAACAAGGGTCACCAATGCTCAGCATTTTGACGTGCAAAACAACTTGTTGTAGAGGGCATCTCTGCAAGGCAACGGTTAAGATTTATCAGCATAGGTCTGTGCTATATGGTGTACACAGGGAAATATGGTATACTTAACTAAATTTGGGCAAACTGTCTATTGAAATTTAAATAATGCAGACAACTTAAATATAAATTTTGAGCATAAAAGGAGGCCCATTAGTTCAGTGTGGGGACAGGAATAGTCACTTGCTAGACAATGGTGATACAAAGCAAGTTGTGCCAACGTCAGGACTTTTTACACTTTTTAGTAGAAATTATCAATTTTTTCCAAATCGGCATTCTAGCTGTGTAGTTTGCCTAGGAAATTTGGTCAATGAGAAGGCATTCTTTATCTGACATGGAGATTATGACTATAAATAACCTGGTTAATACCTGCATCTCTGGAGTTCCGAATTCCGGTAGACGTGAGAAAAAGTCTCGAGTGATCAACCGAAAACACAGACCGTTTGCGACTCTGCCAGCACGACCTGTTGAATAAGAACAACCATCAAACAACCAAAGATAAAAAAGCCTTCAAACAACTATCACACGACATTGAAAAAATGATTTAACATGGACCGAAAACGTGACATCGTTTGACATTTTTTACAACGGGTCCTCCAATTATCAAGCTAACAGCAGTTCGCTTACAAAATACAGTTATTTTACGTTGACAACATTAAAAGATTCTTTTCTATAACTTCATAGCGTAATTTCTGTTTTTGTGGACCAAATTTAGAAATTCAAAGAACATATTTTCATGACGCATTCATTTAGCAACTACAATCCTTGCCAAAAATAACTGGAACGCCTTCCCATTGCAGCATGTAAATAAACAAAGCAAGTCTAAAACTACCTTTCCAAAATATCACTGTCGCTTCAAAAATTTCGATCCCCTCCCCCCGTACAATGTTGATTTATTTTCTCAATACTTTCATACAGATTTCAGTGAAGAAATTTTTACCTTCAGGATCAAAACAGCCCAAGTGAACAACATTGTAATGGGGGGTAGGGGGGGGGGGATTTTTCAAAAAAAGCTTCAGCTTTGCGCAAGTGTTCCAACAATTTTGGCAAGGATTGTATACTTCCATCAAAACGGACAGAATTGAATTAAATTCTTAATTTTTACATTTTTCCTTTTCCAATCACCCAATCAACTTGAAATTTTTTATTTAATAAACAAAAATAGACAAATGGTATTCTAGATATTAATTTTACCTCTCCGTTGATTCAAAGACGATTTTGCAGCCCAGCGAAGCCGCAGGCTTTGGTAGTTTGTATCCACATCTGTTTCCAGATTCTTGACAAGGCAGAAGTCGATAACTGGGGACAAATAAAAATTCGTTACAAAAACTAATCAAAGCAAATACATAAAAAACCTAGAGGCTTTAAAATTTATCTAAAAAACCGCCACCGACGGGGCAGAACTGGTATTTTTTAAAAAACCTCGTTTAACGGGGCAAAACTTGTAACCCTTAAAAATAGCTTCGGCTAATGAGGCCAAATTTGTAACCTTTAGAAATAGCTTCGTGTAAAATAAGTGGTAAAACCTTTAGCATAAGCGTTTGTCTAGAAGGTGATGAGATCGTAAAAATGTTGGCCTAATTAAAAGACCTACCGTATTCTATATCTGGAACTGTGATTGAGCTTTCTGCAATATTTGTCGATAAAATGACCTGAAATTAAAAATAATCAAAATGCATCTTTATGATCCTGAGGTTTGGGGCTATTTGGACAAACTATCGTGAACGGGGACATTGTGAAAAACAGTACCAAAAAAATTTCAGCATGGAATCTTTATCGATATTACGTCACAAGAACAAGCCTGTAAACATTTCTTACACAGAAACTCTTGAGACACAAATAACCAAAATGCAGCCTTTTTATCTTGAGGTTTGGGGCTATTTAGACAAACATATATATATAAATTAATTGTCAACTAAATTCAGATCTCAAATCTTTAAAAACAGGCTGTGCTATCAATAGATTTTCCTTCTTTTATCTGTTTCATTAAATTGCTTCAATATTAAAACTTTCATGCTGAATAATTGTAACACTAAATAGCTATATTGAATAATTCTTAATACAGTATCTTACCTCAAAAACTAAACAAACGCTTTACCGCTGACGCCACAAAATGTTCAAACAAGGTATCTCAATTGCTGGATTAAAAAAATCAACATTTTTATGCGCCTGCCTCAGTCTAATTTTCCCGTCATTATCACCTGTTTATCATAGATCTTCTCAATATGTAAGTTTATATCCGTATTTAATCGAAAATTAAAAAACATATACTGAAACGTACTTTTCTTTTTCCTGACTGTGGTTTCATGAAAATTCTAGATTGATCAATGCTCGTGATTTGCGAATGGAGAATAAGAACTTGCAAACTAAAAGGAAACAGTTTGATACAATAAAAATAGAGCTATTTAACAGAAGGTTGACAAAGCTTATCCTTGTTACATGTACAAGCATCAGCATATGCAGATGATTCATTCAGAATAATCCCAGTCAGCAAGCATTGCAATTACATATTATCAAGTA